AAAATCCAAGTCCTGCACGCAACCTTTCTCCACTGAGTTCCGCGACCCTGAACCCACAACACCCTAAAACCCCTAAATACCCTCCGAAAGCCCTTAACGACAGAAACCCTCAACAACCCACACAAAACCTCAAGCCCAAAAGCCCATCCTCAATACCCTAAACCACTCAATGCCCTCAGCCCTCAAGAGTCGAACACCCTCACCACCCCTTAATCCCCTAAATACTCTAAACCCTCGACTCAATACCCTGAGGCCAACAACAACAAATCTCAAGCCTAAAGCCCAAAATGCCCGAAATGCGCCAAACCCAACCCTCAACACCTCTAAAGTAGCTCTCCGCGTTCCGATTTTTGGACCTTGCCCGACCCTGCCTGCCCTAACTCTGCTAGCTTTTGCGATAAAGGAGTCTCGTTTGAGTTTTTTTGCTAGAGGTTTCCTACCATTTCGGGGGTTTATATTCGAGGTGCCATGTTTTTGAAACTTCCATGTTGCCATACTGGCAAGAGGCCGTTCCCTGTCCCTCGTTGCCCCACCCGCCACCCTCTTGTCTTCTCACCCTTCCTGTGTCTCCCTCCTTGCTGTTGGGGCCAGGGAGTTCGGTCCTCAGAAGCTACTTTGGCCCAGCAGGCGCATGCACTTTACCCTTCCGAGTTTGGACTCGGATTTCGCAGCTGGGCTCCTTCAGATCCACGGAGAAGAACGCGCCATCCGTTTGCCAAGTTCCCTCGCAGTCACCTTGCCAAGTGACAAGCAGGTCTTGCATGCGCTAGGTAACCATATCACAATAACCTTCTCGTCGCTTCGTTCCGAAGCAGACGCGCAGTCTCACAGGGAGGCCTGTTAGGCTAGGGATTGGGGTTCAGGCTTCGGTGCCCTAAACCCTGAACCCTTAAACCTAAGCCCTAAACCCTAAGGGTTCAGGATTTGAGGTTGGTAGGTTTAGGACAAACCTTTCTCCTTGCAAATCTGCAGCAGGCGAAGCTCCACAACTTGCCGTTGTTCATCACCTTGATCACGAAAGATGATACCTGAGAATAATCTGCTGCTGGAAAAAAAGCGCAAATAGGTCAAACCACTGCACAGTACATTAAAAAATGTTACTTGCTTGAATCTGCTATCACAGGTACATTCCTGCCTGTCCAGTTTCCCATGAAGAAGTTGAAAACGGCAGGCTCTGCAAAGTTGATGCATGAAGTTGGAAGTTTTTGAAATATGTTGTAAATCTGGGGCCACTTCCTTTGCTTCGGGAACATGCACCAAAGGAAAGGATTCGGCGCCAGCTTAAGTTTACTCTCCGAAGCCCTGAAAAGAGTCCTAGTGCAAGAGTACGTTGAGCCTGGCTTCCCACAAGCAGAAGAGACATCACATGTGCAAGGCTGGGGCAGGCTGCTGAGCACCACAGACTCCCACTTGATCAAGTCGTATCCACAGCGCCTGCCGCGGAAAACTACAGCCTGCTCTTGCTGCAGCTGCGCATCAGCAGCACAGCTGCAACCGCTGACTGAGGCAAGGCTGGTCCACACCTCTGTCAGTAGAAAGTGGCCCCTTCCCTTCTTCTCACGAGCCTAGACTCTAGACTGAGCACTCCTACAGGAAACCGAAGTGGAAAAACGTGTGCTGCTCGGAAGCTTCGTTGCTGAATACTCGATGTTGGAAGAGCATCTTGGCAACCCCGGGTCCTCAATGCAGTGTGTGGGCAGAACGAGGGAACTCAGGTTGGTCTGTGCCCCACATTCCGTGGTCGTAAACTTCCATGAGCACTCAGCCCGTGGTGCGGTTTCTGCCGAAGACCAGCTAACATTTTGGTAGCCGCGTTCTTCTTTTGTAGGACAGGCGCTCCCTCGTGCAACCAGGGGCTGGTCTGCCTGACAAATATTGCCCTGAGGGTCTTTACTTTCTTCTGTCAGCTTCATTGCGTAGCGAATGTCACCGAATGTTGAACATGTGGGCATCGGGAGGCAGGTCCCGCTTGGAGTAGCTTCCTTCCACGAAATATTTCCGTGAAAGCCGACCAAGCAACGGCAGGACTGGCCCGGCGCAAAGTCAGAGTTGGGGACACGACACGGGACGGGCTTGCACTCACCTGAAGCAGAGGGCCCATTCCAGGCTATGTGCCCATCAAACCCATCCTGGCATATGCAGCTGGGACCATCATTCACAGAGTTCGCAATCGCGCACTTTGCAAGCTGGCACGCGCCGTGAGGCTGATCACCAATCCACCTGATAGACCCTTCATATCCATTTCTGCATCTGCACTGGTCACCGTCAAGGCCATTAGAATTTGAAACGTGGCATTTCGCGGGCGCACAGTACAACTCCACTGAAGTAGCAGTCTCCGTATTAAGAAAGATGTGCTTATAACCATCCTCACAGCCGCACTCAGGCCAATGCTTGCCGGTAACATGTTCCCCAATGCATGTTTTCGGGGTGCACTGCCCCTGTGGAACAGATCCGGACCATGTAATCGACCCGGCGAAACCGTAGCTGCATTGGCACATATTTGCTGGCTGCCTGTTCGAGTTTGAAATATTGCATGGAGCACTCTTGCAGTCAACAGCCAGCACAGTCACGTTGCGATCGCGCACTTTCCTCCTCTGATTGTCGTAGTACTTTTCAAGTCGAACAACTTCCCGTGGACTCCCATAGTATCCGGCGCGACAGCCGCAAGAAGGTCCCGGCGTGGTATTCGAGCGGAGCCCGACACATTTCAAAGGTTTACATGGGCCGGCTGCTCGCGGTCCCTTCCATGAGATTGTGCCTCCATATCCGAACCTCTAGCGCAAGACAACTGGCAACTTGAGGGAAGGCACTTGAGGACAACCCTTTGCTATGCAATGGTCGTCGTGGATTGCGGAAAGCTCAGCCGAGGGTGGAGATCTGTGGATAGATGAAGGACCGACAAGGTCTACATACGTATCTCGGGCCAAGCTTCACCCCCAACATATAGCCTATGCGCTCAGACCCTCAATGGCCCCCAAGGGGCTTGCAGCGGCAATCAGGCCAAGACTTCATGTTCGAGTTGTTCACGCTGCATGATGCCTCGGTTGGCCCGCAGGGCCCTTGAATCTTAGGGCTTTGGGTGAGGGAACTGCAGATGCAGAACAAGTCTTGTCTTCGATCAGCGGGGATGCCGGCCGACAGCTTCCGTCTGCCACTGCACCATGCCAAGTGATATTCCCTTCAAAGCCTCAGCTGGCCGTTTGTTAAGGTTTCTGTAGGGGTAGGAACTCAGCTGGCTGGTTCGTGGCAAAGAATGGATCGCCTCCCGCCTTAGGGTTAGCGGCCAGTTTCGTGGCGACTCAGATTCCTGTATATTCTTGTTCCTTTAGTTGCCGACACCATGGGCCATACTTTTGTTGGAGATGGTTCATGGGCTATCCTCTACAGGGTGCAACTGGTCGACGAAAAGCGTTGCTGAGTTGGAAGGTGTCGTTTCTACGCACTCCCAAGATGAAGGGCCGATGTGGTTCATGTCTGGCCCGCTGGAGAAGGGTGAAGTTTCTGCTGCGGGCGTCCGGATGTGGTGCGATCTCTGTGGAATTTGGAGAAGACATGCCAAAAAAATCAAAAACGCCGAAGACACTTCTCAATTGTCCGCATTCTTCGCCGCACACATTACCGCAAACTCCGCGCCGGTCAACTTCCATTTTCTTTCAGAGTGCGCCCAAACGGCTACAGTTGCCACACATGACTCTCGAAACGTGCTATCTGCTACCTTGCGACAGAAGCAAGACAATGTTCCGAACTTCGCTTAGCTGGCAGGCCAGCAGAATGAGTGGGGGTTCATTCCTTCACTTTCAACGACTGAACCGAAACCAAAGCTGAACCCTAAAAGTTGTCAGGTTTGAGCTTCGGAAAGGATAGTCAAAGGGGTGAACTGGAGCAGCACCTTGCGGATCTGCAGGTCGACGTGCCGATGGCATGTCAACATGTCGCAAATCTCCGAACCCTACTTGAAGGTTCATGGTACTTATGAACGGGTTATAAGTGCGTGAAAATTGGTTAACAAGTGCCATGAACCTCCAAGTAGCCTTTTAGGGATTGCAGAACGCTGTCCAGGCTTTTGGGGTTGACTGTGACGAATGTGTACGAATTGTGATCGGATCTACGGGATCTCAGCAGTCGTTTCCAGACCGGAACGCGGTGCACTGTTACAACGAAGCAAGAATGGAATGCTCTACTTTCGTCTCGGTTTCCAAGCCTCGGAAAACACACAGAAAACCAGGGCTACGCCGCTACGCACGAGCAAAACGTTTCCAAGGCCATAGCACCATCTCGGCAGGTGCAACTTGGGCCTTTTCCGCTGGTGTTGGCGACGTTGCACGGCGCCGGCTCGCAAGGCCCATTTGCGGTCGACCCATTCCAAGTGATGTTGCCGATAAAGCCTGAGTGGCCAAGGAACGACTTTGTTATGATGCTTCAGAAAGCAACAGACCGCTCAATCCTGCATAAAGCTGCAGAGGATCATAAGTCACAACATTAGTTAGCTTCAGACTCATGCAGAGTCCTTTTCGGGGGAGCCTTGAGGTTGGGACACGCCCAACCCGGACACAAAGGCAGAGCTTGTGCCATGAGGAGCCTAGGTGCCATCAGTGCAGGCACATGCAAACCCGTGCCTCAGCTGCGCGGTCGCAAACACCCAATAGCAATGAATGTGGGGGTTTCCGAAATTGGGGGGTACTGTCGGGGTCCATATTGCAAGGGAATCTTACTATTGGGGGCTCTATTTGCGGGGTCCCCTATTTTCGGAAACCCCCGCACCGCAATCACCCTAGCTACCCTGCAGGTGACCCGCGACCCTGAAGCCTTGAAGCCAAGAGCTTTCTCAGCAAGCGGCTTCTCGTTGGAGTGCTCAACAGCACATTCTGCAGGCTCACATGTCCCAGAAGACACGTCCTCCTTCCAAGTGATGTTGCCAGCGAACCTTTGGGCCGAGGATTGAGGGTTTACTCAGCATTCCGCCCTGCCTGGGACCCTCTGTACCTACTGCCTTACCGGGTTATACCTACTAATTAAGGGTAGCTACTACCATACTGCACTGCAGGGACTCGATGGCTTGACAAACTCGGGTTGAGGGTTAGGGTTTAGGGGTTTAGGGTCGTGTGTGTGTGTGTGTGTGTGTGTGTAACTTGACCGCGACTTTCCCTCATCCAATTTCCATCTGCCACGGCACTCTTCTTCACAGCTCGCGAAGCCCAGGCTCCGAGTTTTTTTGAAGCAACAACTACCCTTACCTAGATTTGCGCCGAGCTGATTCCGGGTTTCGAGGGCTTCACAGGCAAACTCAGATCAGGCGGGCTTCAACGTCAGCCGAAACTCTGTGCATGTGTGGCCTGACCGCAACGTTTTCACACTGCAAAACCTCAACAAACCCGAACCAACAGCACAACCAACAGACTCACACGCAACGATTCTTCCCAAGCACCAACCAAAGAACTGCCGAGGGCCCCTTGCCATACTCTTGTGTCTTGCACGCACCCATGCCAGTCTCTCGACATCCCCCCCCAGCCACGACTCTGCTGGAATTTCCGCCAGGCCGATCAGAGCTTGGATCTAGGGTAGGGTTTATAGGGCCTAGGGTTTTAAGCCCAGAAACGTACAGGGTGATAAGATAACTTGCAGTTCTTGCCCTACATGGCTTGAGTTAAAATGCGTTTAGGGTTTGGGGTCGAAGGTTTGCCAGCAAAGGAGCCCCGAGCTGCACCTGCAGCTGTGCCCGAGCTCAAGGTTGGAATTGGCGATGTTGCAAATGGCCGGAGTACAGCTTCCTTGGGCCTCGATTTTGCGTTGAGGGTTTATTTAGGGTTAAGGTTCGGGTTTGATGGTGAAAGGCTTGGGGCCTAGGATATCGGGGGCGTGTGCTGCAGGGTGGAATGATGTTTAAGCGGTAGGTTGTAGACGCTATGGTTTTGAGATCGTCCAAAAACAAATACATGTACTCTGACCCATCTAAGTTACGTCCGGGCCTTTCCATGCGATTTTGCCTGCAAATCCGTCTTCGCAACGACACCCGTTGCCATTGCCCACTGCGTGCGCGACCATGCACACAGCTGGCTCACAATTCCCTGTGGCTGCAGTGCCACTCCACGTAATGTTGCCTGCCTCGGTTCGAACCAAAGATTGTAGAGGTCGAAGAGTTGCAGCACATGACCAGGGAGGAGACGAGGGGAGCCCTTGAAAGTGGGACCCTCGAAAGACAAAACAAAGGATCAAAGGCGTGACTTTGAGGACCCTAAAAGGCCCAGCCGCATAACTGTCCGCGCAGGCGCACTCGAGGCCAAATTTGCCATTGGAGTTGTTGACGTTACATGGGGCTGGCAAGCACGTTCCCTGTGGATCAGGTCCATCCCACGTGATGTTACCTCGGAAACCATCACTGCAACGACACTTCAATCCACTTTCCTCGTTTGAGCCAGTGATGTTGCAGGGTGCCGGAGTGCACGTGTTGGCATTTGGTCCTGCCCCATCTGAAGCATTGTCTGAAGCATTGTATGGCTTTCCTTGAAATCCGCGGCCGCAGCTGCACACATCTTCCACGCAGTCGGAGAAGTGGTACTTGTTCACAGTCTCCACTGTGAGATGGAGCCGTGTTGTGTCATCTCTGCTCAGGCCTAGCAGGGGCAAGATGTAGCGTCTTCCGAGTCACTAAGGGATGCGCATTCAGGGTACTCGTTTCCCTTTGCTTTGCCGCTGGCTTAGAGTAGAGTCTTAGAGTTTTAAAAGAGCAGGAGAAACTTCCACAACAGCTCAGGGTTGGGGATAACTTGTATAGTACAAAATTATGCCCGACACTGCCGTGCCTCGCACGGTCAATTCGCACTGCGCCGAAACGGATGCAATGGGCACCTGGAAAACAAAAACAGGGTTCAGGGTTCTGGGCTGGTTGAGAAAGGCCCGCCCGGCTGCCGTAGTGAATTGTGGTGAATCGTTGAGTGCCTATAGGGCCTATAGGGTTTAGGGGATGACAGGGCGCATATTTCTGAGGTTTTTGAAGCAGCGTGTTGCTAACATAGGGCTGTTGGAATGCAAGCGGCTTGCAAGGCGGCCGGACGCTCATCGAAACTCAGCAGGGAATGATCGAAAGGAATCCTTCGTTGCGCGCGTTGGCTTGCCATCTGTCCAACTGTGCTCGTGCTGCAATGACATCCGGTTTAGGGTTTAGGGTTGAGGATTCAAAGGTGCATCGACAGTCCTAGGGTCCTTTTATTTGACATCTCTGGAGACTCTAACTAAGCCAACCAGGGAACAAAAAACAGCAAGGAACATTGCACGCAAAGACCCAGCTCCATCTCCCCAGCGATGGGCGCCTGGCTCCCTCAACCCCAAGCCTTAAGCAATTCAGCCCTCTTGAATAAGAATCTTCTCGCACGGGGGATAGGAGGATCCCGTCGCACAGCAAATGCTGACGCTCCTTGGCAACGCAGGCGATGGTTTGCTATCATGACGCTTGTCTGGATTTGCAACAAGTCTGTCGTGATGCGTGGAAATTTCGGATGCCGAGCTTTCAACAACCTAAAGTTGGATCATTTGGAAGTTCGCAGAAATTGGAGACCTAAATTCACTATATTCTTCGTAGGAAGATTCCTCATGTTCTGGACTGCTAGCAGACATGTTTTTCTTTGGGGGGGGGGGAGGGATCCTTCTGTCGTTCGCAGAGCTGGCAGAGAAACCTTAGCCCAAAGCCTACATGTTTTGTGCGGATTACTATTCAACCCCTTATACGATTCTTCGGTTCTTAAGGGAACCTTGCCAGTTCTTTCAAACGCGGCCTATGTTTGGGATTCTCAGGCAAGGTGTTCAGGGCTTTGAACTCATTTTGGCCCAAGGCGGCACATGGGGACCTCTTGTAGATTATAATTATCTAAGCTCATGGCAGCTGGCAAGCTGGCCACCCTCCCAAACCCCAAACCCCAGACGCTCAAACTCCACACCAAGCCCCAAACGACCCTGAGCCCTGAACCCATCAAAGCCCAAGCCGTTACCTGTACAGCTGCTCTCAACAAGCATAAACGCAAGTGGAGTGGGCCAACAGCGCTGAAACGAACTGAGGACACATGTGCCAGGGTCGTGGGCTTCGTGTAATTAGCTACCATCAAGGCAGGGTAGCACAAGTTACAGCCTTCATCTTGGAAAGGATGGAGATGTCAGACATGGCAGCCAATGCATGACATCACATCAAGGCACACACCCCTCCCAGCACCAGCCGAATGCTACCGGGCCGAGCTAGCGGCTACTTTATGTTGTTACGGCTGCCATTGGCACTGAGCGCTTCCTGGTCCGATTCCTGATCCCAACAGAAGACGTCAACTGTCAAGCTTGTGCGTCGTTTTTATGCATCCAATGCCACCGCGGCGCGATGCCTGGCTGAACTTCGGCGACACTTGTAGGCGCGAGGACGCCGGATTCACCAGGAGGCGGTATGTGTGGAGCCTGCAAGGAAAACATGCTTTTCCCAGGGTTTGAGGTTTGAAGGTTGAGTTTGGGGCGCAGTTTGGTCCGGGACCTCCAGAACCTCGGGCTAAGCGAATTGGCTCCTGGCCAGGCCCCCTTACTTAGCAAAAAAAAGCTGGCTGGTAATGGGGGAGTGGTTTCCTATAACCATGCTGACGTTGTCCCTTCAGAAACCCTTCCCCCCAATACCCTAAGCACCAGCCAGAACAAACATGACTGAAACAAGCTTCTGAACATGCAAGGCGAGGTGCTTCAAACCAGGATGGAACTTGGGAATCAACATGGCCGAAAGAGGTCTCCTGAGTCTGCAGCTTGCGCGGATCTTCTGAGCCCTAAGCCCTAAGCCCTAAGCCCTAAGCCCTAAGCCCTAAGCCCTAAGCCCTAAGCCCTAAGCCCTAAGCCCTAAGCCCTAAGCCCTAAACCCTAGCCCTAAACCCCAAACCCTAAACTGTCAGGGCGTTTAGGGCCTGGAGACTTTGAGCTTCTCTGAACATCTTATCTCGCAAAGAAAACTTTCGGAGCTTCCATGGCATGCCAGCACCCTCTACCTACCCGCTCCATAGCTCCGTAGAAGTGTGTGCTTGAACATGTCACCCCCCATTACCGACTCAAGGACCTGCCCCCCAATGCTAGGTTTAGGGTTTACGGTTTACGGTTTAGGGTTTAGGGTTTGGGGTTTGGGGTTTGGGGTTCGGGGTTTAGGGTTAGGGCTTTTTTTTTCTCACCCACCAAGGAGAAGCTCTGCATGTTCCGTACCCTCACAGACAGATCGAAGCGGAAGCACTGCAAAGACAGTTTCGGGGTTGGGGTTTACGGTTCCACCTAGGAGCTTCTACCTTCCTCGGGAAACTCCCTGCAATGTTCACCTTTGGAGACTGTTTTCTCTCGGGCATGTCCGCAATAGCGTCGAACGCCTACTGAAAGCTTAGCCTGATGCGTAAGCCTCCGCACGCTGCCGCAGAATCCAGCTTTGAAAGTTTTACCACCAAAATTTCGCTCTCTCGGACTCACGTCCCAATGCAACCCAACTTGATCAAAATCCACGACAGATCCTGCATTAACCACGCTGTTGGGCAATCCTGAGGATGTGCATCCTTAAACCCTCATCTCTGAGCGCTAGAACTTGAGCCGGACACCCTGAAACCTAAGAACCCCGAAGACTTCACGCCAGCTCTGCAAAGGCACAGGTCTACAATCGCAGGTGTGACGAAGAGCTCCGACATAGCAAGCCTTAGGTGCTGTTCAGGGGCTCAGTTGAGGCATGGACTTGCATACTAGGAGCCAGGCAAAGCCCGGGAGGACTGCCAAACAGAGGTTGATGAAACGGCTTGCTTAAATCTGACTGTGAAACCCGAACCTAAGTCCTTAGATGCTGAATCAAGGATCGTTTTTCAAGCCCCGAACCCCAAACCCAGCAGCAGACCCCCGAATCCTGAACACAAGCCTGCGTCATGATGCCTCAGCATCCTCCACCAAACGACCCTGGACGCAATAGCCCCAAAGTCCTCAAATAAATGCAGCCCGAACCCTGATTCCGAAAGTTGAAACACACCGTTAGCATCTGGAATCCGGGCCTGGAGAGTCAAACCCCAAACCCCCAAACTCCAACCTTCAAGCCCTACTTGAACTCTCTCAGCCCCGAAGCAGATATCCACAAGCTTAGGGCATAGGGACTACAAAAAACGAGCGCAAACGCAAGCTTGTCGCCCGCCCTAGAGTTGGCCTTCGGTTTCCGGAAGCAAGGAGCTGGAATGCGAAGGGCGCGACGCCGACTAGAAGCAGCCCCAGAATCTCAGCAGGTGGCACATTTCGGGTTGACAATCCGAAAGGACCCTAAACCTTGAGTTCTTGAAGGGAAAGCTCCGAAACTGTAGAATCTAGACGCTGTGCCCCAAAAACTGGGATGGAGGAGTCGGCTTTCGGGTTTAGGGTTTCGGATGCCGAGCTCGTGGCTCGCTTATTCCAAATGTTGTGGATGTTGCGGGGATCTGCGCTGGACACCGTGCTAGCAAACCCAAAGAAGCCTAAGAAGTGCTGCCTCATGGGAGCCTCGTGGCGCTGTCATTTTATCACATGGCGGCGTGCGCAACACCCCGAACTGCCATGCGCCGGAACACAGAGCCCGCGCCCAGGCACAGAACTCATGACAAATTCTACGTCAAAACACAACACTGAACGACTTGACTCGACCAACAAGGCACGACGTGCACCCAGGCAGTGCGCGGCTCGTTTGGGAAGAGGGCGTGGCGACTCCCTTTTTGCACGAACTGCCCGAGGTCCTGCAAAGCTCAGGTGACGAGCCAGGCGAAGCATACTAGGCCCATCGTCTCCAGGCACCGATGTCATTGTCACAATAGCTGTATATACGTCTATTCTCTGGCAGGCTGCCGTGCATGCTACAAACCACCCTCCCAGTACATATCATTGTCGTGTACTCTCTAATCTCCCTGCCGCTCAGGTTCGGCTTGGGGGTTTATGTCTTTCTCGCATGGCCACAGAGGCATGGGAATCTCGAATATCGGGCTCTAGGATCCAGGGTTTTGAGGCTAATTTTTCCATAGTGTAGAGTGATCGTCTCGGCTCAGGGAAGGAAGATGCAGGGACCAATTCAACAGGATTTTGCAGGCTTCGCGCACTGATGACACTGAAGTCCCGAATAAAGGATCCTCTCCTTTTCCCCGAACTGTGAACCCTGGACCCTTTCCTTACAGCAGGCTTTAATTAGCCTGAACTTAAACCCTTCTTGCTAATCCTGGAGGTTGGTCCTCACCCACGAAACCCCACGCTTTAAACTCCAAACCCCAAACCCCAAAACATCGTAAACCTCGGTGCTGGGTCCTCACCCGCAAGCCAGCCCGAGAGTTCTCCCAGCTTCCGGCGGAAGGGACTCGTCAGGGCCGAATCGCCACCGTGCTTCTGCAAGTATGCCTGCGGATCTCTTGTGGCTGTCTTCGCCACCCGCAAAGCCGACTAGACACCCTGCACCCAGGAACGAAGGAAGGAACCATCCCCTGGCTTTACGGAAGGAGTTGGGGTTGACAGGACCTACGGGGCTTGGGGATGTTGAGGGCCGTGAAGGAAGGAATGACGCATCCGGAAGTGTTCTTCAGGCGCGCAAGCCGTGACCTATGTCCACCATTTCGTTCCCGTAAGAACCCTGAACCCAACCATAAACCCTGAACCCAAGCTAGTCACCGCAGCACATGACTGGATTGCCCAGGGCGCGAACATGCCTGCACCCTACGAGCAACTCCTAACGCCTGGGCCCTTGCTTCACAGAAGCTGTGAAAACGAGCCTATGCTGCATGGCCCCTGATTGGACCCGAATTGCTCCCTGACCCCTGAGCCTGAAACCAAAAACCGCCCTATCCCAAACCAGTGAACCTCAGGCCTTACTCCCTTCCCTGCACCGCGCGTGCGTCCTGCCCAAGACCCTCAAGCGCTTGACCACCAAAGCTTCCTTGAGCCCACCTCTACGTCGATGCTTTGCGCCGGAATGTCCTTCATGTCTTTGAAGGGCATCTGTCACAAGAAGCAGGCCAGTTGGAGCTGAAGCGTTAAGAAGGTTTAAATCGCTGTTGGTGCTGGCTGGGCATTTTCAATTTGTGAGCGGCAATGAGATGGCCTGTTCTGTTGCACTGTGTACGGAATTCACACGGAGTGTTGATAGGGTTCATTCACTTCTCTCCCCACCAGCAGAAAGGGAATCCTACCAGTTCAGGGATGCTATAAAGTCGTGAATTAACAGGCAATGGGAACAAACCGTTCCCACGACGTCAAGGCGGGGAAGGGGGGGGGGGGGGTCTTTTCTGGACTTGGAGGTTTCGGAGTTGGGGGCTCTGGGGCTTTGGAGTCTATAGGGTCTCGGGTCTATAGAGACATTTGGATCAAAGTCCGCGGCCACGGATAGCAAGGTTCCCTGCTGTACGCCGTCTGGATAGTGGTGAACAACCCTAAACCTTTTTTGCACAAGGGACTCGACTGCTGCACTATTTTGCCCAGCCCTAAGCCCTAAGCCCTAAGCCCTAAGCCCTAAGCCCTAAGCCCTAAGCCCTAAGCCCTAAGCCCTAAGCCCTAAGCCCTAAGCCCTAAGCCCTAAACGGCAACCATGCCTTGGGCGACTCGAAGAGGCCATTTAGGTTGCTCAAGTACAACACAACCGTGGCACAGCTGCAGATCTCGGCTTGAGGATGCTCCAGGTTTGCTGGGAGAGCCCAGGGTTTAGGGTTTAGGGTTTAGGGTGTCTAGCAGACGGGTTCCTGATGTATCCGGCATCGTGGGTTACGCGCTCGAAAGCGTCCGAAGGCTATCGAAAGCGTGCGAAAACGTCCGAAATGAGTGCGCCATCCTCGCAATTGTCGTGGCTTTTAGAGCCTCCTATCCGCAACGTTCGGTGGGGTACGCCATCCTCGCAACTGCAGGCGCCTTTTAAACTTCGTTGGTGGTTCGCCTCTCAAAAAGTGCTGACGGTCACGAGGGTGAGCCCCCTGGCGTGTGCCATCCTCGGAACTGTTGTCTTTTCAGGGTTTAGGGTTTAGGGTTTAGGGTTTTTGAAGCCTCGTTTGTCGTTCCCGTCTCAAAGTGGCATGTGGGCTGCGCCACCCTCGTAAATCAGCTTCGTGTGTTGTTCGCGTCTCGAAAGTGCAGAGAGTTACAAGGATTAGGCATGTGGGGTGTACCATCTTCGTAACTGTCGTCACTTTTAAAGCTGCGTGTGTTCTTTCGCGCCTCAACAGTCCTGAGTAGGAGAAAGGGAAAGAGAGAGAGAGAGAGAGAGAGAGAGACAGAGAGAGAGAGAGAGGAGGGAGAGATGAGGGAGAGAGGAAAAAGGAAAAGAGACAGACAGAGAGAGAGAGAGAGAGCGAGAGCGAGTGAGAAAAGAAAGAAAGGAGAGAGAGAGAGAGAGAGACGGATAAGACACTTCACTCCAGATGTCGTGTCGCCCGCCGTGTTTCTTTTGTTCACCGCGTACGTGACAAGTGTCTGCATTCGGGTCTATCAGGCTTGTTTTCCTAGCTGCCTAGATGAGAGTTTATGGAGCTTAGGGTGGTGGGCTTCAGGCTTGAGATGCATAGGGGAACTGTAAGATCACACAGTGGTTGCAAAGGGTGCATGCCGTCTTCGTCATCTTCGTTAGATCTCAAGGATCTCTTGGCGCTTTAGGGTCACGTCTGCTGATCGACAAAAAAGAGCTCAAAGGATACTCGCCAACTTGTGGATTCAACCAGCTGTGCGTGGAAACCAGGAACGCAGGCCAGGCAGAACCCAGGCCAACCCCTCCAAAAGCCCGGTGTCCCGCCACTCACGAAAACAGCACATCTGAGAGAGAGAGAGAAGACGTGCTGAGTCGATTGAAGCAATGTTTCGGAATCTTTCGGACAGCTCCCCGGCTGTCTGGAAGATTGTGCAACTTGCCGAAGCATGACCAAAGACTCAGCATTACGTTCCAGCATGCACATCCTCTCGCCAGCATACACGTGGAGGGGACGATTTTATTAGGAAATACGGACTCAGGGCAATGCTGGGACAGCGCTGCGTTTACGGCCTACATCCTATAAACCCTAAAGAAATTCAGAAACACGCTACCCGCCGCTGCGCGAAGGGAGATTCAAGGCTCGAAGCGGCAAGGACCAAAAACCTTAACCCTAAGGTTTAATTACGGTGCCGGTTTTTACACCCCCAAACATGCGAACAGTCAAGCAGGTATTATCATACTACCTCCGTAGAGCACGGCATCAGGCCGCCAGCATTTTAAACTTCCGGTTCCCTTCCCCCCCTTAGCCAACCCCCCTCCAGCACACCCAACCCCCCCCCTCCCTGTCCAGCCTCCTCCAGCCAGGCAACCCCCACAACCCGGCCCCCACAACCCAACCAAACTCCACCCTCCGCCAACCCCAAGTGGCAAAAGGAGGTTGTGTGGAGGGCGGTGGCTGAGGGGTTTCCGCAGGGTTGGGGATAGGACCATGACTCCGTCTCTACTGCAGAAAAACACCCACAAGCTTTTCAAGCCGAGTTCCCCCCAACCCTCCAAAACTCCTCCAAACCCTATTATTCTATAATTTTACTGATTACATTCATATAGAATCAATCCAAAAAGCAAAGCCCCAAGCCGGCCCTCCAAACCCTAAATTCCCAGACTGCTCCGGGGCCGCCGCCCTTCTCAGCACGAGCCATCGGTCGACGTGGAACGCCTTCGGCAATCTCACGGGGCCCGTGTTGCGGTACAGCCTGAGACCTGCTACCCCAAACCCAAAGACCTTCACCATGATAGACCTACACCCTTCGCGCCCAATGAGCTGCCCTAAGCCTACCCCATGACCCAGACTACTACTTCGGCGAAGATTTGAGGCCTCCTCTTTGCAGTTCTGGTAGATCACGACCAGGTACCTGAGCGCCCGAACCCCGATGCCAGACATACCCTGAATCCGGACTCGTGAACGCCGGCCCTTGGAACCCTTCAAAGTCAAGCCGCGCAGCCTAGCCCCTCAGTAAACCAATCAAATGTGTGCATCCCTATGGGTCAATACGCAACATTGATCATCTTTGTTAAGAACCCTCACTTCCTGCTGAATAATCAACCTCCGCATCATGAAGGATGAGAAGAGCGACAAACACACGGTTCTTACATGTTTGAGTTTCTCTGAGAGCGTCTGGACAGACAAGAAAGATGCCCACACACGACTGCCACGCACGACCAAGCGTGCGACTAGCCTACGAAAATCTGTGTTCTCCCCTCTGCCCCCCAATTCTTTCTAGTCCAGTGTACTTGCCCTTCTACCAGATACTTACCAGACTACTCCTAGTAAGTCTAAGCCGAACTGCCGCGGCATTACTCGTAGACTATAAGTACTACGGACGTGCTGCTTCGTCTTCTACTTACACTAAATCTTTCCACATCTGCAATTCATTTTCCGAAACCGCTAACATGGCGGACCGCGTAATCCAATGCCGGGCCCTTCACGGCCTGCCAAGCCAAAAACTCCTTCTACTACCGTCTGCGAGACTACCACTCGCCTACTGCTTCTGCCATGGTGTTGCACATGCGAACCTGCAAACACAGTCTTGAGAACCCTGAACGCCAAACCCTCAAACCCTACATCCAAAGCACTCCACACTGCAAACTCCGACTTCTACACCTGCACCAAACCACGATCAAACCGAAAAAACCTAAAAACTTCGCACTCGACCCTAAAAATCCGGAACCGGAACCCTCGGGAGTTGAAGATGATCGAAAGCCCACAAGTCTGAACCTTGCACTGCTCTTTACGCAAATCCAACATTCCGCAACATCACGAGGCAGCCAAGTTGCAGGAGCAAGAGCAAGCCAGTCAGAAAAATGAGAATACGGCCCAGGCCTGGCACAGGCTTGCGCTTGCATGGACTTTCTGCTCTACTGTAGGGCCCCCAGATTTAGAAGGGTTTCAGGCTCAGGTTTTAAGAGGTTGAGATCTGGGCTGGGCTTCCCCTCCACCCTCGCCTGTGCTGTCGATCCTCTTGCTTGCAAGCTCCAAGCGCAATTCATCTTGCCAGGCGCTGTCAATAACTCGCCGCCTGGGCAAACGGGGTCAAATACGGATCAAGACTGCAAGCCTAAACCTAAACCCAGCACTACCCCCTTGGAGAAGGATTTGAAGGCTCGAGGCGGGTTGGGCTTGAGGAATGCAAGTCTGCTGGTTGGAACGCTACTGAAGGTCGGTGTTTTGGTCGAATATTAGGGTTTGGCATTCCGGTTTAACCCTAAGCCCTTTTGCCCTTTGCCCTTTAAGCCCTTTGCCCTAAGCCCAAGCCCTTTGCCCTAAACCCCAAACCCAAACTCTAAACCCTAAACCCTAAACCCTAGACCCTGAACCCCTGAAGTCGGAGCTCGGTGTTGCCCCACGGCTTGGGGCCCACGGCTTTAAAGTCTATGGGGTGTAGGCTTGGGACCTTGGCCCGCATCTCGCGCATGTGCGGGTTTAGGGTTTAGGGTTTAAATTTAGGGTTTAGGGTTTAGGGTTTAGGTTTAGGGTTTAGGGTTTAGGGCTTCGATGGTTTATGTGAGCTCAGGGTGATAGGATAAGCAGCTGAACACCGGGGATTGACGCTTCAAGAGTGTTTTTTTACGATAGTTTGGAATGGGGAAGCGGACTAGTTGCTTCTCTCAGGATGGCTCTCGGGATTTATTCTAGCCCCTTAATTATAAAAGATTGCAAGGTGACTCGCTGGCGACCGTTGGCGCAAACGCACAAAAAAAGCTTTCAACCCGAACTTTGTTTAATCCTGAACATGCAAACTATAAGTCGCAAATTCTATTTCCGCAGCCCACAAAACCCCCGGTGCCTACAACGTCACTTAAGCGATTACATCGGTGGCCAGTTGCCGCATGTAGTCGATGCCCAAAAACCTACGGGAGCAGGGTTGGGGTTTAGGGTTCGGCCCTGTCGCCGGGTTTGTTAGCGCAAGGGAAGGAGCAACCTTGAAGTTGTAACCGGATTCGAGGTTGAAGGTCTGTGGGGGAAAGAATGGTTGACGTGCTGCTGGACACAGTTCTGGATTCAAAACTTGAGGATGTGGAAGGGGACGGAGGGCGCCGTTTGGGCTTCTTTGTTTCACTTCCTTCGCCTACCTGATCGTCGGGATCAAACACACATATCCACGGACGTGGAAAGATGGCTCTGGGTAGTACGAGTGCTTGAGTGCCTTAGAAAATCAGTATGCTCTCCGCATTGCGTGTTGAGAACGAAGGAGTAGCTATGGATTGTTCTCTTTGAGCGAACCCCTGGGATGGCAGGGAAGGTTCGTGCACTTCTATTCCGAACCAGCAGTACGTCTTGGGAAGGGCCGAACACAAGGAGAACAGACTTCTTCTCCATCCCATTCAGCAAAATAAGGGCCCACAAGGAGCCATCGCCAACGCATCCGACGCACCACAAAAACCAAATACCCCTGTAGACAATACACCAGCGCAGTCGGAGCACACAAGGCTTGTCAAAATGCCCAGGGCAGAGACGGCAATGCAAGTGCACCTGGGATTCAAGCCATCGGGTCGGCTGGGGTCAGGATTTCGGGGTTTGTAGGCTTCTGCAGCAGGGTGTAGACGCTGAATCGCAAATGCACCCTGCTGATGTCGAGTTCCGAATTCAGGTTTTAGGGCCTGTAAGGAGTGCTCTTGGGAAGCTCACATCGCGCGAAGTAGCTTCGCGCTTCTTCTTGGTCATGCTTGCCCAAAAGTGCAGTTCTTCTTGGTCGTGCTTGCCCAAAAGTGCAGTTACACTTGGTGCGCAGAACCTGGCCCGTCATCACGGTGGACTCACTTCATCTTATGCTTGGCCTTCCAGTTCACCTCACTGGCCTGACCTCGAAAGAGAACTATAGGGCTTGCGGGTTCATCGAACCGGGGTTCAGGAATTTTGGGGAATGTATCGGACTCATAGAATGTCAAAGCCAGATCAAGATTTCTAGTTCTTCTTCTTTCAGCTCCCGATTCCGCGGTTTCTCACTATTTTCTTTGGCCTCGACAGCAGCTCAGAAGAAATTTCGGGCCCTGACAGCAGCTCAGAAGAGCTCTTGTCACAAACTTTAGATTTCTAGTCGCTTGACAAGCGATTTTAACAACCACGAGCATCCCATAGGCAGTTCTGTACACAAGCCACACACATACAAACCCTTGTGTTGGGTTGTTTTCGGGCGGACGGTCCATCCCCTTCCACTCTTGCCAGGAGGCAACAGAAAGTCATCCGCGCCGCCCCCAGCTATACCCGGCCTGCTAGCCGCCACGATCCTGATCCAAGCTCAGGCTGTCGTACGAGGTCCGGTTCTGGAAAGTAAAATTCGATTAGAACTTGGAGTCAAGTACTGTAGCGGGAAAAATGCTAACCTTGCTTTTGGTTGAGGGACAACAGCTACCAAACAAAGTTCAAGGCTACCCACTTGACCGATAAGTTGTTACTGCGCTGGATCCCTGGGTCCAGGCCCAGGGTGCCCATGTAAGGGACCCAAAGCCCCCAAAAAAGGAATATCGGCCTACTCTGAGTCCTGGCAGCTCTGTCACTGAGGACTCGAAACCCTGACTGAGCCCCAACAACCAAACCTGAAACGTTGTAATATGGGCACCTCACTAGATTTTGTTTATTTATCAATTTTTTTGTTTTGGGGGGGGGGGGGGGGCTATTATGGTACATTTCTAAAGGGACCATAAGGGAATGCTATGAGTAATTCTTCCGTCCCCTAGACTACGAGCACCTGTTCGCCACGATCTTCTGGAATCCCACGAAGCTCACGATCCCGGTGACGTGACCTCGGCTCGCCAAGAGGATGCATAGGGGCCTGAATAATTAGAATAGGATTTGGGGTTTTGGGTTTTGGCCTTAGGGTGTGTAGTATAAATATATATAAAGGGACCCAAAGGGAATATTGTTAGCAATTATTCCGACCCCTATAAAAGAGAAGTTCAAGGCTTCAACTTCAAACGTTCAGGGCTTACGATGAAGGTTGCTGTTCAGGGTTCGAGATGGGCATCTCGGGATTTATTGTATAGGCTTGTAGGTCAAAAAGTTTCAAGGCTTTGGGTTTTTGGATAATGCTTAGGGTTAAGGAATTGGAGCTTCGATTTTGGGGTACAGGATTTCGATGTTCAAAGGCTTTTTGTTTGAGAGAGTGCCGCGTCGAGCTTTGTTTCGGGCATTGAGGGTGAGGCTTCAGGGTTCAAGGCTCAGCGTCAGGGCTGCTTGATCTTGATTGGAAGTTGCAAGAGTGGGTCGAAGCAGGCCGGGTGACTGTTGAGCGACGCGAACAAGATCTTGCAACTCCTCTCCACGGACGCCCACAGACTCTGGAAATGCTTTCTCAGCGATCCCAGCGCGTCCATGTTGGCCTCCGTTGGGCCTCGGGAGACAACGGTGGGGTTGGCCGATCTGCGAACAGACACGAAAACATGGAAGATTCCGTCTATTGGCGTTACAGGAGCTCTGCTAACTTCTGCGTTTCGCGGGAAGCCCCCAGGGGCTCCCCACGAAGAGGAACATACCCAAATGTGCTTGGAGTACATGGGTTCAGACAGCTGGCCCCTTCCAAAACCACAGTGCATCTGGGAGCGTGGCATTGTAGAAGCTGCAAGCAGAGAAATGGGAGACAACAGTCCCGGCGGAAGATGCAACATCCAGGGTTTGCTCACTTTACAAATGGGAGACACATGGGAGACAACTGTCGCAGATTAAGTGCAGTCGCCAGGACCTGCTAGCTTTGCGATTGAACTTAACCCTAAGCCCTTTTCGAAGCCACTTCGCCTGCGCCAATGAAATCTGTGAGCCCACGAGCTCGAAGCCTCTAAGTCCCCTCCCTGTACTCGTGACAGAAAGACACCAAACCCTCCAGTCCCCCTGCACTCTTGACACAAGGACCAGAGCAAGCCACGCAAATCCTGGGCCCACCCTTGAGGAATGATACGATAGAGTATGAGAACGTTGAAGATCTAAAGGTGCCCTCATGAAACTGAACTAGTCCGCTATAGCCCTAGGCCTGAGACCTGAGACCCTAAGCCCAAACCCCAAAGTCTTCCGCCTTCACTGATATCAGGGCCATCTTCCAGAAGCCAATCTTTGTGGAAGACCGCCACGGCAACGGCCACAACCTCGAATTGAAGACCCGAGACCCCCAAACCTTCTTTCTTCAAACAAAAACCCCGAATCCAGAGCCCAACCCTCGAGGGACCTCATAATCTCTGATCTCTAAACACCAAACTAACCTAATTTTGGGGTTTAGGGGCTTGGCCTTAACCTCAAGTAGTCTAAACTCCGTTGTTGCCAATCTCCTCAAACCAAAACTCCTCAAGCATAAGCCCTTTGCAGGAGGACTCCTCACCACTGCCTACCTAACAAAAAAGCCCTCTGAAAACATCTTCATCTGACTACAGCGCCTTCTTTAGTCCCAATAGGTTCCCTTAGAAAGCACAAGGACCTTATTGGAACAGCCCCCCCCTCCTATCTCCACATGCCCTCTCCTTGGCTGAGGAAAGGACTAGAATAACCGCCAGCCACACAGCATGAATGTACCTGGGCTTAATGGCCTAGTTGTCCAGTACCCTAGCAAACTAAAGGCTAACCTTGAGGTTATATAGGGATTCAAATACCGCCAAAAGGTTGAAGGCTACCTACTCTACTACGAAGAAAGGGATGCTGGGCTTATGTGGGCTTGAGGCTCTAGGAAGCCCCTGACCGGCAGAAGTAAGAGTTGGGATCAGGGCTCTACGGGTTTAGGGTTTAGGGTTTGGGGTTTAAGGTTTAGGGTTTAGGGTTTAGGGTTTGGGGTTTAGGGTTTAGGGGTTTAGGCTTCCGACCTTCGGGCCCCCAAAAGCCCTCCTAAAACCAAAAAAGCCTGAAGCCTCTGGCATGTAAGGATCCCTAGCTCTTTCGTGCCCAGGGCCCAAAGGCTGACATGTTCCCTCCTTCTCACCCGGAACGAATGGAAGAAGGCAAGAATGCACGGTCTTCGCACACAAGAGCCGAAAAACTGACGTCTGACCTCTTTCGACCCAAGCCTGAAGCTTAAAACCTTCTTACCAACGTCCAACCGAATGCTCTTTTGGAATCTTTTCGTTGTTCTGTCCTTATGCTTAGCATTTCGGATTGAAGGTTTTGGGCTCTCCTTTTTTTAGGAGGGAATATAGAACCCCCCCCCCCCCCTATTAGAACCCCTATGAGGAGCTGTTAGTATAAGGGGGGAACATCCCAAGATAGTTGCCCCTCAGGCAACCAATGAGGCGCGTGCAAAAGGCCAGCGTAGACCGGCAGAGATTGCCACCCGCTCTGCCCAGAAACAGATACGGGGGTTTTCGAAAAAAGGGGTACCCTTCTGGAGGTTCCTATACTCAGGATTCTACTATTTTAGGGTATTTTGGAAATACCCATACGAGTCTGCTGCAAGCTTTGGAGCTTAGTGTCTACAGCGCCTTCTAATGCAGGGATTCATGCCGGGAGGGGAAGGTGACGCAAGGATCCACGCCTGAATTTTGATTCGTAAACCCCACACCCCTATACACCATGATCAATGAATGATACAATCAGATTTGGACCCTAAACCCGAACCCTCAACCCCAGACCCTCGATTCCAAGCCCGAATTTCTGAGAACGAACCCTCTATGCTCCGAAGCCGTCTTAAATTCTAAATGAAGCTATTAAACCCTAGACCAAAAGCCTAAACTGGAGCAAGTCCGAAACAAATCCTGACAGTCGGGGGACCACAGGATCTTGGAGATGTCCCGGAAAATGTCGCCCCACATTCTGTCGGAGTCGTCCTTGGTCGATGGAGATTCTGTCTCAACATGAAATCTTGGTAGCCCAGTAACAATATGCTTGGGTTGGTTACTTCATCAGGGAACCCAGAACAGAAAAAGGGTAAAGGGTACGACTTGGCTACTACGAAATATCAAGTTCACCCGGTTGCTCCCCCCCGCAGTGCCACTTGGGCTTGAGAGTTACATGGGCCGAGTTTGCGGTTGGGGGCCACAGCTTGGCTACGAAACCCCTGGACAGCTAAGCCAAAGCGGAGGACGGCTCCAGCCCCGAATTGTGACGGCAGACCCGGAAGCCTAAAAAGGAACAGTTTGGGGAATTCAGGGAACGGCGGCTGCTATGCCTGGCCAATCTCAAGGAGCTTGGGAGTGGTAAGATCTTCCCTGTAGTAGGGTTTAGGGGAGTTTAGGGTTTAGGGTTTAGGGCCAATCAGGATCACGAAACCCTAATCGAAAATTTTGACCAGCAAGCCCTCAAGCCTGAAAGGCCATGGTGAGTCGTAAGAGCTTACCCCACCTTCCTAAACCCAGCAAACCGGAAGTGCTTATTCACAGTCAGGTTTGCTTGAATGTTGATACGTTGGTGTTCATTCTCAGTGTTTCCCGAAAGTGTACCAACAGGGTTTTCCAATATATTCGGGTGCCCGTCGTCACGGCGCGGGCCCTCATTATGAATTACATTTTGACCAATTGGCATGGGAGAATCTCAACCTTGATTTCGGAAAGGGCCTCTGCGAGCGTGTGTGTTTCGTGGCGGTTGTATTGTCCTGAACCAGCTTTCCTGCAGTGGAGAGGAGGGTTGACTAACATCTTCCCCACAGACGCGCCATTATAGTTTTGCCAGCTCTCACTGGGATGCGAGAATGCGCAGCGCCAGATTTCGGAAAGCTGGTGCGTGAGCATGTGTCAATTGAGAAACGTGCCCTCACCATCTTTCCTGCGGTTTGGTGGGGGCGGTTGGGGGGGGGTGATGGGGGGGGGGAGGGGGGTACACGGCTCGTAGGCTTGAAAACTGGGGCCTCCGATCGGAGACGGGGTGACATATACATGTACAGGCAACATAAAATAATCTACATATATGTATATATATATATATCTATCTATATATGTGTATACGTTATATAATCCAATACACTTAGTTAAGACTTAGTTGAATGCCGGTTTTGCATCCCCCCGACCCGACCTCCTTAGGGAATTCCTGCTCCTCCCCCTCTTTCCAACGCTGACAAGCGCTGTGCGTGCCCAAAATGGTAGAGAAAAAACTCAAGTAACATCTGATTTTGAGGTCATGAAGCAGAAGGCAGGGAAACCAGCTTGCGTTACTTAATAAAACAGAGCAGCACAACTCTTAACACGAATGACAAGTATAAAACGCAAGGCCACACAGAGTACCTTTCTCTAAAGAAGAGTGTGAGGTGTTCAAGGCAATGCCTAAACCCTAAACCCTAAACCCACTAAAGGATGTATTCGTTCTTCCATCAGGGCACCTCCATGATCTGCTGGTGGACCTGGCAGACAACTCCAATCCCCATATAGGTTTAGGGTTTAGGGTTTAGGGTTATGAGCTTCGTGTTTAGAATCGAAATTGAATCGTTGAAACCTTGACCCCACATCCACCCTCAACCCGACCCCCTAACACAGAAGACGTAACCTTGCATAATGGCTTACAAAACTGAAATGCTGAATGGAACCCATGCAGCTTGTGTAACATGAGTCGCATGAGCTGCCGTCAATATACCTTTTGTTGTCCCGTATGACACATGGACAATTCTGACGATTCAGCTTGATGGGTCTTGGTTTGGAAGGTCGGGGGAGGGGGTGGGGGGGGGGGGGGGACGGAGGGCGGTCTTTGGTTCAGGTTTTACTCACCGCCCACCCTAGATCCCAGATCATAAGCCCCACCCGCCCAACCGCAAACCCCAAACAATCCCAAGAAACCGACTCGTTGGGATTTAAACCCGAACCCGGCAACTCCTCCATCAACCAGCTTGCACTCGCCGCCCTTGTCGCTAAACTCTAAACCCTGGTTTGACAAAGTTCGCCGACTTCGTCTTGAATGCACACAATGTCGACCAGATCACGACAACCCTTCGTACCCTTCAAAACCTCAACCATAAAGCCCCCCAAGCCTGAAACCCAACACCCCAAGCTTGGGATGTTCCCATTTATACTAACAGTCCTGAATTGGGAGTATAGTACCCCCTACTATAATCCTTTATAGTACCCACTATTAATTATCCCTATGAAGGACTGTTTGTATAAGGGGGAACCCCAAGCCCTTGCTCCGCCAGGCCCCCGGACGGCCCGGAACCAGGCTACTGTAGCATTGCTGGACATCCCTGGCTCATGCGTTCGCATGCCTCGGTAGGTAGGGTTTAGGGTTTAGGGTTTAGGGTTTAGCGTTTAGGGCTTAGGGTAGCCAGAGACGAAGAAGGCTTCGGTTGGCCTACTTGCCGACGGCTTCACTTCCTGTTCCTAACTTCCAACATGAACCCATGCCATAGGACGCTGCCATGCTACCCGATCCCATTTCTTTCGGGTGTTCAGGGCGTCAAACAGCACTGCACTGTGCACTTCTCATTTGACACTCAAGCAGGCCAAAGCTTTCCTGGTTCTGTGGCCCGGAGCTCGGGACCCCCTCGAACTGGCAGTTGACAGTATTGGTCCCCAGGAGAACAGGCTGGGTTTAGGATGTGTTTTGCCTCCTGCCTACTGAACTGAAGGCCACATTGCATGGCATACCACATGTTCAACCACTGCTGAAAAAGATTTGGGATGTAGGATTGGAGATCCGTCTCTCACCACACAGGCAGGGTTTAGGGTCCGCAACAGGTCGGAAGTGCCCCAGTTTCGACCCTAAACCCTAAACCCAAAACCCAAAACCCAAAACCCTACCCTAAACCCTAAACCCTAAACCCTAAACCCTAAACCCTAAACCCTAAACCCTAAACCCTAAACCCTGAGCCCTAAACGCCCTAAGCGCCCTAAACCCTAAACCCTCGTCTGAGCTCCCGGCTGCCTGCCAGCCCGAAAATACGAAGTTGGTTAGCTAAAAGATGTCAGAAAACAGTGAGTTGAAGCCAAAACGGCTCATCAAGTGCAGTTGCTTTTCAGGATGAAGCATTTTCCATAAGCAATTTATTCGGGAGCTCCACTCGTGAGGCGATTGCCCCTAAATCCTAAAGCCCAAAGCCCTTAGCTCTCAAAGCGCAAGCGGGACACAAGCGGAAACTTTCAACCCGCTCTGGAGACCTACGCGTGGAAGGGTTTCCGGAGCCCTCTTACATGCTTCATCATGGCCAGTGCTGTGCCTCTGCTCAAGTGAAAGATGTCTGGGAGGGGAAAGGAAAGTGCATTTTCAAATCATTAAGGAAAGCTACCGAAATATTCCGGAACGATTTCATGTCAGGATATTCTTGGCTTCTTGCAGAACTCCCAGCTCCTTTTTGTTGCATTGCGCCGCCCGCCAGGGTCTTTGAACGTGACCCGATGACCCCTGCTCTACCGGAAGCCCTACGCTAAACCCCAAACCTTCTTTAGAATAGGCACCCTCAACGCTAGCTCATATATAGACCCTTTTTAAGCATAGGTCTCAGTACCATATGAACCCTGCAGGCCTTAGCCTTAAGACTGGCGGAAGTCGCTTTCCAGAATCAGATACAGCTTGTACCCATCACTGTCTGCGAATCCGGCGATGTTCATCCCAAACATTTTAGTCGGGGGCATCAGGACCTTCGTGCCCATCTTATCCAGGGCCGCCGTCGCCTCCTGAAGGTCTTCAGTGGCAATCACGAGGTGATCATATCCGGAAGGAAGCTGCGCCCCATCAAGCGCCTGTTCAGATTGCTGGAGTGTCAAAGTTGTTTGCGGGCCACCAGGGTACCCGAGCGACACGCAAGTTCCAGCATCTTCGTCGACAATCTGCATGCCCAGTTGCTCGTAAAACCTGACAGCCTGCTCCAAGTTGGCTGTGCGCAGCTTCAATGACAGCACGGTGCCTTTCATGGGTCTTCACAGCTCCAACAATGCTGACACAGGGCAGGGGGGGCGAGGGTGGTGACGACAGAAGCAGGAATGATGCAGGGAGCTCTTGCTTCCAACCCTTATAGGATACCAGTAGGTCCTACGGCCAGAACATCTTCGATGCCCCCCAAGTTTTATCTGCCTGGTCGGCCGGATTCGGAGAAGGATATGGGGTAGCCATCCGGGTCGGTCGTCTCATCAGGATCACCAGCTATTACGAGGCCTCTGAAGCCTCCAACCTTGGTCTGAGCCCGAGCTCGGTCGTTGTTGGGAGAGAAATCAACTACCCTAAGCCCTTTTGAACCCGGAACCCGGAACCCTAAACCCTAAACCCTAAGCTAAGCCCCTAAGCCCTAAACCATCCGAGTGCTGTCTAGGAAATGCTTCCATCATTGGTGTGCGGCATCTTCTTGTTGCTTCTGCTGGTTCGATTTGATTTGTCCCCGGTCGAAGGGGCCGCCGGAAAGTCTCAAACAGCTGAAACATGACGCTACCATGTGCGCCCCCCGAACAATGTATTAAATCACTGCTTGCCGAGGCTTAACCTTGCAAGTACAGTACGTGCATTTTGCTACCCAAGATGTGTTACAGATCTCTTCCTCGCCAAATATAGAAAGCTACTGCTGCTCTATAAAAAAGCCGCCGGGCCACCTTCACATCAAGCTTCTCCGGATCCTTGGCCGTTGCCAGCTCCAGGGCAAAGTTCTGCTTGTCCCGCAGCTTCCCGGGCCCGACGAAGGCGGTGCCACCACCACCCGGGCGCCGATTGACGGACAGCGCGCCGAGGCCGGCATCCTGCGCAGGGTTTGAGGGCTCTGAGGGCCTGGGGGGCCCTGCTCTCCCTCAACCCTAAACCCTAAACCCCTGCCCAACCTTATGAACCCTAACATCAAAAAGGCGCGCGATGTCGCAGGTCAGGTCCTGGTAGAATTCCAGGGAGGCATCGAGGTCTCGGACATGCAACATGGCGTGCCTGGGTCCCACGAAAAGACTCCGCAAAGAACATTTTTGGCAACACTGTCGAGCTTCGCTTCAGCATGCTGGAGTGCCCAGTCATGTGGGCCCCCCCGGACACCTCAAAAGCAACCTCCTGATCTCAACTGGACTCCTCTTACACACAGTGATAAGCACGCGACTGAAACCATGAATGTCAAAACAATCTTGCCCACTATGACCATTAGGCAAGGCTATGGTGAAGATCTAAACTGACTCTCAACCCAAGAGACACCCACAGACACCCTAAACCCCAAACCCCATGCCCCAAACTTTCCCCAAACCCTCTGACGAAGACCCTGTGACCCTGTCAGGGGCCCAGGTACAGCATCTTGTTCTTTTTGAAGTCCACAGCGGTCCTTCCGACCCTCAGCGTCCTCCTCTGAAGCTGCAGGCCCTAAACAAACCCCATCCGGAGGTTTAGAGATTAGGGTTTATCGGGTTCAGCATGTCCAGTTCAAGCACTCACTGGCTTTCCCAGCCTAGCAGCTTTTCAGGCACCTGAAACTTTTAACCAGTCACCCAGAGAATCTCATACCATTCAGACATTTAATTACAAGTTTCGCGGGGGTTGGGAGGGGGGGCCAGTCTTTACATGACCTTGCCCACTCTTTATCCGTCGGTGGCATCGAACAACCGCACCGACCATCCCAGCAATAGGACGACAAGCTGAAGCCACAAACAACACAGGTACCACGCAGATCCATGCAATCAGAACACACAGTACCAGTTACATGCTGGGATGCTGACCCCAAATACTACCATTCCTTAATCGGGATTCAAGTACCCCCCCCCCCCCCCATGATAATCCCTATTAAGGACTGGTAGTATAAGAGGGAACACCCAAAAGTTACATGGATGCGAGGGCTGCATCACCATTCTCGATCTGCAACGGCGATCAATTGCAAATGGGCGATCTTGCACGAGTTAGCGAAAGGATTTTCAATTCCGGGCTCCTGCAGCTACAAGAAAGGCAATCCATACTGAACCCCACAGAAGGTACCCCTATTTTTGGGGACTGAAAGCCCCGCATTCTGAAACCCTGACACACGTCCTTGGCGTGCCACGGGCTGCAGCGACTGGAAGCGCAAGTGCGGCCGCGGCCCACGAAGTCCAGGAGGTCCGGGAGGTCGCCGTGAAGGGCCGGGGGTGAGCTCCATTTGTTGGAGAGACCTCAGAGTGCTTTGTCTTCTTTTGGGGATGTCAGGCCTCAAGGGCTTCGGGCAAGGCTTCAAGCAACCTCCTGCGACACCCTTTTCCCCCCCTAGACCCTCAAAGCGGCTCCTGCCTGGACAGGAGTGACAGGCCAGATGCCCAGGCCCACTGCCAGCTGAGGGATCTGGACCATCCGGGCCATGTCCCAAGCAGCGAAAGAGAGCTTAGACCCCAAACCCGAAACTTTCGTTGCTTGCGCAGCTCTTGCCTAAGTGGGTCGGCGTAAAAAAACTTCAATCCCCGATCCCGAAAGCCCACTTCGATCAGCTTTGTAAGAGATGATGGGATACGTGGCGTTCACAGTCCGAAACCCAAGCATCGTCTTGAATTTTGGGTTGGCTGCCGATTCAGAATTTTTAGGTTTCTGATTTAGGTACAATACGTTTGCACGGCTCCTTGAACTGAACTTGTGCTACAGGACATCCTTGCTGGAAGCAGCTCGGCTGTAGGCAGGTTCACTTGGGATCGCATGCGGTGGACGCGAAAGGTCTGCACCCCTCCCCCTCTCAGCCCCCAAATGTCAGAAGTATCTTTCAGGGGTGAATTAGGATGTAGGGTTAGAAGGAACCAATATAGACAACGTCACTTTCAACAGAACAGAACACATATATTACTTGCTTTTGCTCGTCCGTATTGGAGGGGTTGCACAGTGGTTCTTAGCAAAGAACTGTGGCTATAGACACCTCGAGTTCCTTCAATAAGGGACTATGTTCCCCTAATTCCCTACTGGAACCTAATCATGATCCATTCCTCAAGCCTTACACAGCGATCTGCGAAGATCGCCCCTGTGGCCCCCCTCTGCAGTACGTGGGGTTGAGGGCTACAGTTTCTTCTCAGGCTGCTGTGGGCCTTTCATGGTATGTGCAAACCCTTCACGGCGAAACGGAACCTCCATTCGCGAAGCTTCCACCGTTGAACTGATGTTTAGGGTTTAGGGTTTAGGGTTTGGGGTTTGATGTTTGAGAATTGTCATCGTCACCCGTACCAGCCGTCTTCCTGGCTACCATCCACAAAAACCAGCCGACATCGTGACAACTATCACTCGTCGCTTGCCTGCTAAAGCAGGCGCAAGCTACATAAACCCCTGTTCAACCTTGCGGTAGGGGCTTGAGCAGAAGGAATATGGAGTTTTTGCTTCTGGCTTTCACGCGTGAGAGTTGAGGATTAAGTAAGTGACAAGTTCAGACGCCAGCGTCTGAACATAGGGTTGCCTTGGGCCTGACCCAACCTTGCAGTCTAGGTGGAGTCTTGGGGTTGTACCTTGGACCCTTTAGCTTGTACCCTTGAGGTTTTCGGGACCCTTGTTAAAGATCCTCAAGGTCGTATCAGGGCCATATTAGGAAGGGAAACCTTAAGGGGGTACGGTACAACCTGAGGGCTGCGAGTCTTAATCCCTTGATGGAAGACTTTTTTTCGACCTCTATCCAGCCATCAACTCCTCGAAGCGTTCGTAGGCCAAACTTTGGGCCTGCCAATGCACCAAGGGCTTCGAGTTTTTCAAGGGACTCTACGTATACCTTGGACCCTTTTCGGGAGCCCTTTTGTTGGAGATTTCTAAGATTTCTAAGGGAATCTAAGGGCCATGACCATTCCCCGGTCTTCCTAGGCCCTCGAAACCTTGCAGACGATGATGTGAGAGATCCCAAAACACCGAAGAAGAGTATCACGTGCTCGGCACAAATGAGATCTCAGGCTCCTCAAATGGTATCCCCTCTTGTGCGCTTGTCCTCAGAGAACGACAAGTTCACCTCTGGGCAGCAACAAAACCCGGAACTGCGGCTTCCTTCAAAAATACCAGGATGCCTCTATACGGGCATTCGAAAAAAACAGCCCTTAAGACCCACCTACACGGCGTATGCATAGGCCCCAAAGTCGGTAGAAAGAAAGTTAGTTCACTACCCCGACTCAACCCTAAACCCTAAACCCTAAACCCTAAACCCTTGGAGGAAAAGGCCTAACCGCCGTAACCCTGGGTATAGCCACTGGCCTTGTCGAGCTCATCGCGCTCAGCCATGAGCTCTTCCAGTTCGTCTGGCTTATCCCAAGCCTCTGCCTGGGTTAGGGTTCAGGTTGGGATGTTCCCCCCTTGTATTAACAGACCTTAATAAGGATTCTCGTATCTCCCACTAAAATTCCTATGAAGGAGTGTTAGGAAAAGGGGAAACATCCCAAAGTTTAGGTAGTTGGGCATCCGCACCTCAAACCCCAAGTTCGAAACCCCTGAACCTCCACCCTCTGCCCCCCCCCTCCACCAACAGCCAAACGGCCATGGCTTCGTCTACGGAGGCAAGCTTCTCCTGGCCAGCAGCTGGGAACTGAAACAGTAGGGGTCGCAAGATGCTGCCCCCTGAACCTTTGCAAGCTTATTATTTCTTAGCTTCTAGGCTGCGTCTTACTTAGCCTCCGTGCCCTAAGAGCGCACAAAAAAACCCTTTCTTAACCTTTTTTTGCAACGGGCTTTTTTTCATAGAGCCACTCCCCGGAAGACTCCCCTCTGCTGGCGCAGGTGCCCTGTGCACAGCAAAGGCCGAAGGAGGAGAGCAAATTGCTTTAGGGTTTAGGGTTTAGGGTTTAGGGTTTAGGGTTTAGGGTTTAGGGTTTAGGGACCAAAGCTTAAGGCGGCTGCTGGCATTGGCTTTATATCATGCTGTCTAGGTCGGACTGTGCTGCCTTTATCTCCCCCAAGAAGCCTCATGAACACATATGCTCCTGTGTCTAATGTTCCCGTATGTGTATACTTCCAAGAGGCTATGGCTACCTAAATCTGAAGCATAGAAAGACCTCAATCTCTTGGCACCTCAATCAGGGAGATCTCCCTCTCCAGCCGGACCATTGCCCTGCGCCCGGAGAGACTTCGACAGCTTAACTGCAGGGCTCGGGGGAGGCTTTGGTCCCCAAGCCCGAAACCTTAAACCTCTGATGTCCAACATGCCAAACTTCGGGCCTAGAAACACTGAATCCTCTGTGATTAAGCACCTCGTATGAAGGTTTACAAAAAACAAGGGACCCCAAATAGTAGGATTCCCTTATAAAAAGGCCCCAGTTAGGTACCCCCAGGTCGTACACCGCCATATCCTACTTGCACCCCTTTACGTATGAAAGAGTGCTGGCTGCTGGCAGGCGGCCGGAGCTTGATACCATAGATCCTAAGCTATCCAATCGCCTCGTTTCTGTTGAAGCTTCAGGTGCTCAAGGGCTGTGGGTAACAGCCAAGATCACGAAACACCGGTGGAACACCAAGATGGCATCTCACAAGCACATGCTAACGACACTGTGAGGACCTACAAGCAGCTAACAACCTCGGTGCCTAGCTCTCGGGACGACTTAACAAGCAGACGCAACACCATGGCCGTCCAGCACCACCGTCCAAAACCTCGGTTTATACGTTGGGGGGGGGGGGGTGATGTAGCTTACCTCACCAATAGCCAGGGAAAACCAATAGCCAGGGAGAAAGCTCGCACATGCTTGCACTGTATCAATTCTACAAAAGACGCAAGTCACACTGGTTGAGATGGAGAGACCCAATAGCTGCCTACACGAGAATCCGGCTCCTCGAAGCAACAACCAAAAGCCTGCTTGAGGCATAAACCTTAAAACTTGGGAGGTTCCCCCTATACAATCCTTAATAGGGATTATAATTGGGGTACTGCAATCCTTACTAAGGACTGTTTTTTTTCAAGGGGGAACATCCCCATGTGTGCTTTAAGAACCCGCAACAATGGCCGCGGCTTTGGAACACCTCCCTCCGCCCCACATTACAGTCCTCATCCCTCGAACCGAAGATAACTCTTAACACCCCCTGAAAGCCTCTAAGCCCCTAAACTGTCACTCTGAATCCAACACAACAAAACGCCAAAACACGCCTCTTCTACCCTTAGACCCTAAGCACTAAACACCCCCGAAAGGCCCCACCCACCCCCCCCCCCCCCCCCCCCCCCCCCCCCCAAAACACACACACACACACACACACACAAGACAGAAACAAAAGCTGCTAAGCACAAACTCCCGCCTCTCCGCCTTCTTGTCCGACTTGGGCTTGGATTTTGTGGATGGAGGCTTCGACCTTGGCAGCTCAAGGGTTAGGGTAAAAAAAAAGTTTAGGGTTTAGGGTTTAGGGTCTAGGGTTTAGGGTTTCGGGTTTAGGGCCTTGAGGGTTAAGGATGTGGGAATTTAGGGGCTCTTAGGGCTGTAGTAGTTTGGGTTTAGGGAATTTAGGATTTGGGGTTAGGAGTTTTGGGAATTTAGGGGCTTAGGGCTTAGTAGTTTAGGGGTTCAGGGAGTTCAGGAACTTAGGATTTGGGGGTTTGACGCTTCAAGTGATGTAAGCTCAGACTCCTTGACTGAAATTTCATGAAGTGCTGCATGCCAAAACGCACGAACCATACTGTCAAATGAGGGCATGCGATGAACGGCTATTTGACTCAAACAGCCTCCGGACTACTGAATTCACCGCACTGTGAAACCCCGGAGATGTGCCTGCCCGACATTGCTAATTCTCACGAACGGCCCACCTATGCCAGCTGGCTCTGTTTATGTCTCCCCATTTCCACATATATAGCCGCGGCCCAGGGGAAATGGTCAATAGGGGGGTTCATTCGAAGCAGCCCTAAACGGAGGTTTACGATGTTAAGGGTACCTTATTGGGGTCCTTATAAAAAACGGATCCGACTATGTGGTGGTCTACATAAGGGGTCCTTTGTTGTCGTAAACCCCAAAACCCTAAACTCCTCCACCACTCCAAGGAGTTGTGCTGTGGGGTGTGCCTGAACAGCCTACCTCAAGGGCAACCCTGCACCATCCAACAATGAAGGGTTGAGGGTTTAGGGGCGCTCCTGATTTTTTTGCATAAGCCCCAATCTGACACCTCGAAACCCTAAACCCTAAATCTCCCTCTTCCCCATTCCAAGTCCCCGGCTTGGCAACGGAGGGGCTCTCAGCAGATGTCCTGCAACACGACCACGATTCCACGGTTTAGGGTTTATGGTTTTCGGGTTTAGGGGGCACCTGTTGAACGACACTAGTGGGTTTTGGGGCCTTGGGGTTTGGGGGTTTAGGGTATTCATCCTTAGAAACCCACGGAAATTGAAAATAATATTCCTTGAGGGTAATGAAGAGATCATTATCTGTTGTTTGTTTTTACTTGAATTATTTGCAAGGGGGTTCTTGAGCAAAGGTCTTGTTGGCTTGGGGTTCTCACCAATCATCTGCCCTTTTGCATCCGGGCTTGGGGCATCGGCCGGGAACGGGACATAGACCATGTCACCTACACCATAGCTAGAAGCACATCTGACTGCAGCATTTCTCTTTCTACCCTTAGACCCTAAACCCCCAACATCGAGCTGGAAGAGGCACACCGCCTACTTCGAGCCCTGCACCCCTGAAATCCCCGAAGCCTCCATGCCTCAAACACTGAACCCTTTGTCCATCCGGGCCTTGAGGAATGCCGAACCAAGCCCTTAAACCCCACCCTAAACCCTAAACCCTTTTGCAACAGGCTTCTGAGGTCCGCGCCCGGAGTGTGCTTTGGACAGCACTGGCTAAACCGAGAGAGCATGCAGTTTTGCAGCCCAACTAGAAGATATCTCATTGAACATGATCACATATTGAAACATCTTGAAAGCACTAGCATGTAACGACATCAACGAAGATGCATAGGCATCCAGAATCCAACTCTCAGCATGTACATCAAGCATGACACCTGCAAACTCAAGCTGGCAAGACCGAATGACCTCGTGAGGCTCACCTCCTCTGGAAAAGGTCTGCATGCCATGCACTCTGTCGAGCCAGGATATGTCTGTGACCACATGCTCAGACGACCCTGGGCAACTCACTTGCAGGACAATGCCAAGTCTCCAAGAGACTGACGAGTTCAGCACATCCCTCCAGGATTCTGCACAGCAAGTGTGGAATATCGTGTGACGTTGCGAGTGGCGACCCACTATGACATCTAGCTTGGAGGCCCAGGTGTCTCGATTCATGGCCAAGTCTTTCGGAGCTGCCTCGGGGAGTCCCGAAACATGTTGACCCCATCTATGAAGATGGTGCCATGGCCCAGGGTGCACTTGTCGAGTGTCCGAAAGCTGTAATACATCCCTTCTGGCTATACAGTCCTCTGGCATCCTAAGCAAATGACCTAAATAATTCCAGCGTCTTCGTAACCAGATGCACTCCCAGGAAAGATGAGGGAGCAAGTCCAAAAGGGCGAGGCATGTTCGTCTTCTGAGTCGGTGAAGGTAGATTGCAGGTTTCCGATTAAGGTCTTCGGGGATATACAAACCCAACATCATAACCAGAAAAGTGGTCTGCAGTGAGCGAATCTTTGAGGAGTACTTGCGGAGAAGCTCAATCAAGGGACTATACCAGAACCAGGTTCCCCCAATATATCTGTTGCAGAGCTTCATGGTGAGGGGGATGCAGCTCCAAAAGCCATGTCTGATGCAAAGTCTAAGGCCCTGAAAACTCGCATGGCATGCCTTGCCCAGCGCCTCAAGCAAAATCTCTGAGGTGTCAGCATAATGATCGTGCAGTGCATGTCCCCCAACTGGAAAGTGGCTCAGAGGCTTGCGAAGGTACACACACTTGGTGCCCCAAGTGAGCTGGGGGATCAAGCTATCTGCTGCAAAGGCGCGCGCTCTGCCCTCTTCCAGGACCGATTGGTGTGACATTATAGAAGTCTTACTAACATTCAACTGAAGCCCCAGCTGTGCCAATGTGTGCTGCAGGTCTGGGAGGAGTCTGCATATTTGGGCCCAGTCCGTAAAGGAGAACAGCATGTCATCCATGAACAATAGTGCAAAAGAAGAGTGTATTCTGTCCTCTCCCGAGTTGGTCCATTTGTTTTCTAGTCGCTGTATGGCCAACCCCAAACAATACGCAAAAACGATTGCACTCTGGGACCCACCCTGTTGGTGGATACCAGAGGTTTGTTGAATAGACCACTCCACCTGTCTCCAAGAAAAAGTGCAAAACCGGACCAAGGATAAGCTGCAACAACTGCAACGCCTCTGCTCCAAGCCTCTCATCGCTATCGCTGCAGATGAAGTCCGAAACGGCAGCAACGTCTATCGAGTCAAACGCAGCCGAGATGTTACAACTTAGGTGTACACAATATCGCTCCTCCTTACTCTCCCTGGTCAATCTTGATTGGGCACTGGCTAAGGCATCACACACCTGGCTTCCCCTGATTCCTCCAAGCTGTATGCGGGGGATGGTCCAGGAAGATTGTAAGCGGCTAACCAACAACCACGAAAGGACCTTACGCAGACACTCCATCAAGTTGATAGGACGATATTCCTTGGGCGAGGTAATCGAAGTTACCTTGGGGAGTAGAGCAACCTGAGCATCACAAAACCCTTGGGGAAGCGATGGTGCAAGTAGCAACTTGTTCAGATGATCCAGGAGAAGATCCTTGCCCTCTGCATCTGTCCACAAAGCTATGAGGTACTCGTTCGAAATCCCTGTGGGCCCACTCGTCTTCTCCCTCTTCAGGCGTCCAATCGCCGAAGAAACTTCAGACTCAGTGAAGGGCACCGTCTCACAGGTGGAGGCCCTTTCCTTTAAGGTGTCAATAGATTGTTGTATGGCCAAGTTCTGCTCAGGAGTACGATCTTGTGAAAACAACTGCTCATAGTGATGTCGTAGTGTCTGCCTTGCTTCAGGGAGCCCACCTTCATTCTTCACGAGTTGGTGAGTGCTGCCAGTGGCCGGTGCCTGGCGCTGTCTGAAGTATCGGATGGCTTGTGCATCACCAGCAGCACCCCTATCATAGAGGTCTTTAAGCCAGGAGCTCCTCTCCCAATGCCTGATTGCCAGTATCTCCCTTGTGATCTTAGCCCGCTCGGTGTGATCTGTAGTGAGCTTTCGGATGTGGCAGAGATGTTTGAGTTGGGGGTATCCTGGTATTTTAGGCTGGCTCTTGGCTTGGAGCAGGCAGCACAGGACTTCTGGAGTGCCTCCCATTGCCCTTGCAGGGACATCGAAGACATCTGTTCGCGCAGTTGGGGCAGTGACTCTGACAGCATCTCTGTATTGACCACCCATCGCCTACACCTCCTGGGTCGTGGGTTACGTCTTCGCTTGGGGCGAAGAGGTACCTCATGAAAGGGGTCCTTGAGGGCTATCATAAAGGAGACGTTGCAGTGATCACTACCAAGTTCGACTCGATTGAGCGGGTGAGCATTCGTTAGGACTGCATCTGGTTCTGGCACAAGCAGCTCCACAAACTGTCTGTTACAACAGGCATAGTCTAGCTCAGATTGGGAGTGTATCCCAAAACGGGTCGGCTGGCCAGATCTGAAGGTGAGACCCCCTCGCACGCTGAAGCAGGAATCGACCGCCAAAGCTCGGTCGGTTCCCTCTGCACAATTGAAGTCTCCACAAGTTAGGATGGGAAGATGTCGATGGTCGAGAAGTAGTTGGGTGATATCCCTAAGGGATGTATGAAACTGGTCATCTGTGAGGTCACTGTGTGGGAGATGGCAAGAGGCGAGGACAACATCATACCCTGTACCAGCCATTCTCATCTGCACTGCAAGGTATCTATCCCCTACCCAGGCCTTGTCTACGAATTGTACACATTCCTTGTGAAGTAGGATCATTTGCCCCAAGTGTGCCGAGGTTCGACTTGTACCGATAGCGTGATAGTTAAAGAACTCCCCTGCATCTTGCATCTTGAACTCGAAAACACCATGACCAAATTCTCGAATTACCGAAAGTTTGTGTACTTGGCCAACCTCCTGAAGACAAAAGAAGTCGTAGTAATCCCCGGTCTCCATGTACCAGTCGTCGAGATGCTGTAGGGACTTCCCTTGTAGGTTCCACGAGGTGACATTAAGCACGCCGCAAGGGTGAGATGGTGGCACTCGCTGAGCCTGATGTACCTGACGAGATGAAGATCAAAAAGACACAGCTGCGTCACGAGTCCTCACACTAAGCCACTCAACACCGAAACCCATGCTGGAAGGTCAGAAGGTGGGCGTGCCGCCGGGTTTAGGGCTTTTTAGGGTTTAGAGCATTTTAGGGCTTAGGGTTTAGGGCGTTGTGGGGCTTAGGGCTTTTTAGGGTTTAGGGCTTTTTAGGGTTTAGCAACTTTAGGTTAGTTAAGGGGCCTCAGATTGCTTCCTTCCTTCCTTCCTTCCTTCCTTCCCCTTCCTGCCTTCCTTCCTTCCTCCCTTCCTGCCCTCCCTCCCTCCTTCCTTCCTTCCTTCCTGCCTTCCGTCCCTCCCTTCCTCCTCCCTTCCTTCTTGCCCTCCTATCTGAAAAGGAAAGTTTTTTTGATTGGAAAAAAGTTTTTTTGATTGGCATCCCCAGGGCCTCACAGCGGAGCAAGCCGCGGCACTGCGCTGCCGCGTACAAATGAGCGCCGTCTTCCAGCAGGCCTAACCTGAGTACAGTAAAGACTGGGAACTATTCTGGTTTGGGAACTCACATGAGATCGCGCGCCTTTTTGCGACCCCCGGGCCGATCAAGATCAGCCCATCAAGGCGGTCGACTCGGTTCTGGCATAGGAAACCGAAGGGCCAAACAGCAAAGAGCAGGCAGGCGCGCGACCAGGAAGCGCCTTGTTGCGACACCTGCGCCGCTCAATGACCTACACCGTACAGTCGTTCACGCTGACGGTTTCAAGGCTTGGGGTCGCCAACAGCGGCAGGCGAGCATTGGCCTCTCACAAGAAATGTGTCCATGAACGCGCTCACAGACAAGCGAATAAGCACAACCAAGCCTGGTCCTTGCACTCATCCCCGCGCAACACATAGGCCGCTGAAGGTGATGACAGCAGCGGCGTGGCGGCATAGTAGATGCTCTCATCATGCCGCCCGAAGATCACGTGCAGACGGGGTGGATGGCCACAGCATGAGTGCGTGTTGCGCTGCTAAATAGAAAGTAAACAGCCCTGCTGCACCCACCCTCGATGAGAATGCTCGGACTTGGCTTCCAAGGCGCGGCCCGCTTCCGTCAGCTTGCGCAGGATGGAGGGGTACGGCAAAGGATGGCGAGCTCCGGCCTGCCACGACATGAAACGCCGTACAATATATTGAAGCTTTGAGGAATGTCAACTGTGCACGTGTTGGACGCAAGACCACCGCCTTCTGCTTCCGCTTCCGCTGGCCTTTCTTCGTGGACTGCTTGTCATCATTCCCAGTGCCATTGCAAGCTCAGCCCTGAAGTCTCCCCTCAGACGCAATGGAAAGGAGCTCTAGCCAAGCAGGAGGCTCATCATCGGTCCTCAAAGCGAGCTCACCTCCCAATGGGCGCTTCCTCCCTTTCTGCCATCTCTTCATCTTCTGACATGGCAATCTATCTAATGTCTAGCCCAGAAAACAAAACAAAACCAGGACTCGGGCCCAAACCCTTGAGCCGTAGCCATCCCTAAACCCTAAACCCTAAACCCGAAACCCTAAACCCACTCCGAAAGGTTTGGTTTTTTCTTTATGGGACCTTAACCTGCGTCCTATCCCTGGGTCCTCTGCTTCCGCTGCGACTGGAGAAGCTCCATGAAGGAGCCAGTCCACACCTGCGGTTGGCCTCGTCTTTTGCCGTTTGCTTTCTGGATTTGAGTAGGGAATTAGGTACCTTATAGAATCCCTTAAGGGTTTATGTAGGGGGATAGAACGTACCTACCCTCATTCCCAACTAAGCGTTTGGGGCTTTGGGTCTTTTGCCGCTTGGTGCACTTCTCAATTCGTGCGTTTCATCTCTGCGCGGGGCGACCCAAATCTTAGCAGCCCGTAGCCTTTTTCAGATCTCGGGGTTGATCGTCGGCTTTGATGCTCAGCGTTGCGGGGCTTGGCACCAACATACCATGTGGCAACGTGCAATAAGTTTAGCATCGCAGCGCAAGAGGCCTGACTAGAAAAATGCAAGCGGCCCCTGAAAACCCAAATCCTAGAACCCCCCCCCCCCCCCCCCCCAATTCTTTACACTTTTCAACGAGGTCTCTAAACCCTTTTTGCTAAACCCTTTTGCCGGAGGGCTCTCTTATGTGCCTCCAGCTGCCATAAACCCTAAACCCTAAACCCTTTTAACCCTAAACCCTAAACCCTTAACCCCAAGCTTCGCAGCTTCTTGAGCTCGCGCGCGGGGGGCAGGCCGCCAGTGTCTTGCTGGTGCTGCGAACACGAAAAATCAACCCTCGGCCCGCCACCTCAAACCCTCCAAAACCAGCATTCTTGGCAGCTTTCTGGAGAGCCCTTTAAGGGTGCTTTGTTAGCACGAACCTCGCAAAAGAAGCAGGTTTGGGCTTCTTGAGCGCGAACCTCACAAAAAGGTACATTTTTTTGTTAAACTTGCACTTAAGGCCAGGACGTCACCCACGTCCGAGTGGCTGCCGTCTGCCTGCATCACGACATAGGAATCGCAGACCTCTGTTTGGCGTTGTTGGGCTATGCGGGTCCTTGGGAAAACAAATCCTACGAACCTCCCTTGGCCTAAAGCATTAAACCCCCCAACTATATAGAATTTAGGAGGGTTAGGACTTGGAGGACAAGTCGGCACCTGGCTATTCTCATCTCTTCTGTGCTTCGGGGTCCTCCTGTTGTCCAGCAGACGGTGAACTAGACCAAAAAAGGGATCCGATTCAGAACCAGTGGGCCCCTTCAAAGGGGAGTCGGATAATCCGGGATTCTGCTCTTGCCAAAGCGTCTACAAGGTGACCCTCATTTCAAACAACCCTGAAGCCTGAACAGTAAACCCAAAACCCAAAACCCTAACCCTAAATGCGTATCTGCTCCAAACTGAGAAAGGTCCCCGGTGGCCATGGCCCCACTCCGGGCAAGGCATTTGCTGGGAGCCAGACGCCGTCAAGCAAAGAGCGATCATGACCTCACTCATTTAAGGGCTATAAGGATTTAGGGTTTTTGGGAGACTATACTGACGATACGCACTGGCCTCTCCGACTGCCGCACAGAAAGCTCAGACCCTGAATGTAAGCGGGCATTGTGGACACAAGCAGGGGGCTTGGGAGTGCGACTTCTGCTTCCGGGTGGACGACGCCACAGCTGATACTGGGGCGTCGTTCATTGGATTGCCAAGTCCTTACTAAGAATCTGAGACTTTTCATACTCAAGGGATGCTATAGAATCTTTGGGAAACGTCTAGCAAATTTCCTTAACTATGATACCTCACGATCGTATTAAGGCCCGTATTATATACCCACAGGAGCCCCCAAAGAGGAATCGAAATATAGAGAGCTGCCCATATGGGGGTTTACGATAAGAAGGGACCCCTAATATCGACCTTAAATACTAGCTTCCAGATTGTAGTAAGGACCCCAAGAAGGTACCCCTAATCTCAGGAGCCCTAAACCATAAACCATAAACCCTAAACCCTAAACCCTAAACAGCCCGAACCCTAAACCCTACTCCCTTCTAATATGCACCCGTAAGGTACCCCTAATCTCGGAAACCTCCACATGCCATCTCGCTCTGGGCCCCTGGCTCACCAGCAGGAGGGTTCCCGAATAACGCTGGAGCATCAGCTCGAGGGAGTCCACGGTCACCTCTGCTTTGGGTTTTAGGGTTTAGGTTTAGGGCTTTCAGGGTTTTAGGGTTCAGGGTTTTAGGGTTTTAGGGTTTAGGGTTTTAGGGTGTTAGGGTTTTAGGGTTTTAGGGTTTTAGGGATTTAGGGTTGAACAGGATTAGGGTAAGGGCTGTAGGGCTTCGGGTTGTGCGCAACCCCAGGTATAGAAAGGGCGTCAGCTGAGGGTTTAGGACCAGCGTCCACACGGCAAGAGGGGCAGCGGGGGGGTTGTGATCCAAGGATTCGTGTTTCGGATTTAGGGCCATGTCGGGAATCCCTGGCAGACTGGTCCAACATGCTCACGTTCCAAAACCTGTTTTTTGATGCAAAGACAGGGGACAGCACCAGCTCGTTTGAAGCAGAACGCAACAGTCCGTATTGAATATGCCCTATAAACCCTCAACCCTAAACCGTAAACCCTGAAGTATGCAATAGCTCAACCGGAGCCTAATGCCAGAACAGCACGTGCGAGGAAGTACCCGGCGCACGTCCAAACCCTAAACCCCTAAAACTGTATCATTGTACTCGTATACTTTTAATTAATTGGCTATCGTATCATTCTGTGATACGATCAGACTATTACACATGTGATTGTTACCAATAAGGTACTATACTGTTATACATCCAAACCCTGTGTTGCTTCTGGTCTATCCTAAACGCCTAGAGCACTCGTGGATTGATTCAACTTGCGGCTCTTGCGGGCATCCTAAACGAACACAAACTCTAGTCGAGACGCGAGGAAGGGAAGAATCAAAACTTAGGTCAACCCACGCTTGAACCTCAAGCTCACAAGGATGTAGCAGCTTCAACTTTCGAAGGCTTGGCATCAAATGGAGCTGCTCAGCAAAAAATAGGCCATGATGCTGCCCGTGAGCCATTGGTTTTTGTTAAGGGTCTATAGGGCCTACGCCAGATGCTTAGATGGGCAATCCGGAGTCGGTTCAGAACTTCAACTATTTTCAGCTTTTCCAGCCCCAAACCTACCAAAAATGAGGCAAACCTCCAAAGTTCCGTAACCCTGGATGAAGCCTTGCCACTCTCCCCCCCTCAAAATCAAACGATTGGGTACGACTTGCATCGCCAGTCGCTGCATCCAAATCGTTCGTGGGCTCGTCCAGAATCAGAACATTCCTCGGAGAGGTTTAGGCTTAGGGCACAGATCTCAACTACGCCCACGCACCGCAAGTCCTAAGTGTAGACAGCGTAGTTCAAGCGATTCCCTGAACGCACTTCGCAAACCTAACTCGGATGCCGACATCTCAAGACCGAACCCAGCAAGACTGATGAATGTTCAATCTAGGGCTTGGGTATGCACGGTTTAGGGTTTCCAATAGCAGTAGCACTCGCAAGCTAAGTTTCTTGCCAAAGCTCCAACAATCTTAGAGGGAGATACTCAGAACCCTTACACCCTAACGGCCCACTCGGACCTGTAGCATGCTAGCTTACCATCGAAACGTGCACATGAGCGTTAGGGCCGGAAGCCCTCAATCCCCAAACCCTAAATCCATTTTAACCTTAAACCCCAAAACCTAAACCCTTAACCCTTAACCCAAAACCCCAACCCAGAACCCTAGAACCCTAGCCCGGGGACGGCCGCTGAACAAGCACTCGCAAGAGCTGTAGGCGGCGGTTTTCGCCGCCCGAGAGCATGCTAACCTGCTTGGGGTGTGTAAGGTTTGTGTAGGGTTTAGGGTTTAAGGGTTCAAGGGTTCAAGAGTTTAAGGGTTAAGGGTTTGAGGGTTTGAGGGTTTAAGGGTTAAGGGCTCTCAAGGAGTTTTGAGGGCTTCAAAAGGTGTAGGGTTTCGGCATGTTTCGAAAGTCGAGGCTTTAACGATTTGGGATGCTTTTTCGAGGGAAGAATCCTAGGATTGGCGATTACATCCCTACAACCCCTCAGAAAGGCCTTTTGTAGGGGATTATAATTAAGGCCTAAGCGCCGCATAGGAATGCCCCTTATAGGGTTGATGATGGGGAATATAGGGCCTAATGGACCTTTATATATAGAAAGGCATTTAAAAGGATTGAAACTGGGGATTGTAGGGGGTTGACGCTATTGGCATGGTGGCAAAAGCCCCTCAAAACGCCAACAACATGAAGCGCAATTGCTGTTGCAACTGAGATTTCGCCCCGCAAATGGCCATGCAGGGCGTGCGTGGCCCCAACATCAAGCTTGGTTGTGCTTTCAACCCTTTGAAAACCGGGTTCCCTTCTAAGGAAAGAAGGGAAATTAAACAATATCCCAAAGCACGACCGCGACCCAGCAATGACCTGAGACCTGGGGAGCTGGCTGGCGTGCTCCAGCGGCTCTGAGCAAAGTTGATGGCCCGGAGCATAGCAGCGCGCTTGCCCCTTGCTGGGTGCAGATGTGAAGGGTTTAGGGTTTAGGGTTTAGGGTTTAGGGTTTAGGGTTTAGGGTTTAGGGTTTAGGGTTTAGGGTTTAGGGTTTAGGGTTTAGGGTTTAGGGTTTAGGGTTTAGGGTTTAGGGTTTAGGGTTTAGGAAGCTTATGGACTTAAGACAAGTGCATGACTGACATTCAGCAGACCGCTCCAAGCCTGCACAGCAACTCGGGACACTCCCCTCCGCCCCCCCCCCCCCCCCCCCCCCCTGTTTCAGGATATCTAAACCTAGATGGTGGTGTCTCTAAATGGTGACCCCTTTGGGGTCCCTAGTATAATAAAGCGGCCCCAACTCCAACGATTCCAATCTCTTTTCGTGCACCATTAGAGAGGTGCCCGCAAGTCTGGCGGTCTGTGGGGCTGGCCCAAGCTGTGCATGTACACTGTATTCTGAAGGGAAAATCGAGGGCCATCGCGAGGCCGTCGAGCCTACACCCCCAATGACAAGAAACGTTCATATCACGGCGCACGGCTGGGAGCTTCTCCAAGAGGGTTTAGGGTTTAGGGTTTAGGGCAACACAAAACCAACACAAACTCCTACATACTGCATCAAAGAGAACAATTGAAGCTATCTCTTGTCTCCCGGCAACAACTGCCGCACATTGCCACCCTCAAGCTGCAAGCGCCGTGCTGAAATTACCCGGCACTCAGTAGACCTCCACGTGGTAGCGGTCCGCCTTCTTCATGGCTTTGGCGAATTCGGCCCAGTCCTTTCCCGCCTTTTCCGCGATGGGACCGAAGCACTCGGCCATGCCAGACTCCATACCTAGGATGGCCCTCGCAACCCTCCTTGAAAAATATTCTGAATATGTGATCCTCTTAAAACCCCCATAAGGGAAAATGCAAATGTCCCAAGGGCCTACCTAGAGACCTTTCAAGCCGCACATGTAGACATGGGTCTTCTCATCCTGCATGAGCTCCCAAAGTTCATCTGCGTACTCGGCCATCTTGGTCCTGAGTTGTGCTCTAAACCCTTAGAAATTATCTTATGAATAGGTTCCCTTATAAGGTAAGAAGGGAACTTGAGGAAAATCATCTGATGAATGGGTTCCCTTTATGAGGAAAGGAGGGCAATTTAAAAACTATCCCGCAGCACAAGCCAGGGTCTGAATGTACATCTTCTGGCCCGCGGCGTTCTTCTGCTCGCGGCTGACGGCGTAGTCGTAGCGAAACTGATCTGGGAAGCTCTTCTTGTAAGCCTGGTGCTCATCGTCGTACAGCAAGGACTTGGAGTAGGGCACGCCCATGAAGAGCCACGCAGTGCCCTTGAACTTGCGGGCACCATCGGAGCTGGCGCCAGCATCATCGTGGAAGAGGAGGCGGCAGTAAGAGCGCATGGGGGCAATGCCGGTGCCTGTGGCCAGCATGATGATGTTGGCGTCAGGGTCCTCTGGCAGGAGCATCTCAGCACCGGTAGGGCCGGTGATCATCACGTCATCTCCGGGGCTCATGTCGCAAATGTGGTTGGAGCAGACGCCGCGGTACACCTTGTTGTCGGGATAGGCAGTGCCCGCCTTGTCCGGCTTGTCCTCTCCCTTTTCACGGTTGGCATGCTGGCCATCAACCTCCACAACACGCTTCACGCACAGGGAGACTGTCTTGGAGTCCTGGTTGTCACCAACAGCAGATGAGGCGATGGAATACAATCGAATCCTTGCCGGTGTCTCGCCCTTCTTGTCGGGCCCTGGGGCAATGACTCCGATGGATTGTCCTTCAATGTATGGCACCTTGCCACCGTGGTCGAAGGTCACGTGGCAAGTTTCCCAGTTTGGGTCACCGGTCTGCTCGGTGAGGGTCTGCGGGTGCACATCGTTCGCAATGACCTTGCCCGGATAAGGGGCTTTTGGGGTGAAGAGGTTCCATGGGATCTCCTTGCCATGGACCACCTTCACACCCTTCTTCTTCACGGCCGCCGCTCGGCAAGCCGTGCTGGCTTCTGACCTCCTGCTCACGGCAGCTGCGGCCGCCACGCAAGCGAAAGCCCCAGCCATGGGAGCTGCCGCCGAACCCTGGCGTGGCTGAGGCGGTGCACCTCGTAGCTGCGCGGGGGCTGAAGGGGCGGCGCTGGGAGCGCTCGGCGCCAAGAACGCATACCCGCCGAGCAAGGCCGCCGCACCGATGGTTGCTGCCTGTGCCATGCTGTAAGCTCCCCTTCACGGTTGGGTTCGAAGTCTACTGTGCTGGTATCTTGGGCCGTATGGGTTCGAGCTTGAGGTTCAAGCCTCCAAGCCAGGCGGAGGTTGCTGGAAAGCCCGCGCTCAAGCCTTTTGCAGCAGCCCTCAACCCTCAACCCTCAACCCTCAACCCTAAACCCTAAAGAACCCGCAAGAGCCGTGTCAAGCCCAGCTTCTCAATGGACATCCCAGCATCGCTCTCGAGGATGCCATCGCCCTGGTCCGAGGCCAAAGCAACCGCTGGTTTGGGGTTTAGGGTTTAGGGTTTAGGGCTAGGGTTTAGGGTTTAGGGTTTAGGGTTTAGGGTTTAGGGTTTAGGGTTTAGGGTTTAGGGTTTAGGGTGTAGGGTTTAGGGTTTAGGGTTTAGGGTTTAGGGTTTAGGGTTTAGGGTTTAGGGTTCAGGGCCCAAGGTTTAGGGTTTAGGGTTTGGGGTTTGGGGTTTAGGGTTCAGGGTTCTGGACCCTTTGCTACCTTTAAGCTAGACTTGATCACTGACTGCTTAAACCCGTAGCGACCTCCGAAACCCCTAAACCTCCAGCGGCCTGAACCACCAACAACAACTTAGGCCAGAAAGAGCTGAAGCTCCAAACTGCCAGGCTCGGGAGTTTAAGGCTGAGGGGGATCGACTTCCGGGTTTCGCGTTCAGTTTTTTGTGGTAGTTCAGCCTTCGCGCTTCCCTCCAGATATCCCAAGCATCAGCAACAACTTTGCCTGGCTGGTGGCCGCGAGTGCCATTTCCTCATGCAAGACGAACCCTAATCTACTAGTTGCTTAAGAACCCCGAAAAAAGAAATGTTCTTCCCTTACTAAGGGTAATATAGGGATTGTTGTTCATTCTTTTGGGGTTCTTAAGCAAGTAGTAGTAATCAGCTCCAGCAGCAGGGTTCCCAGATGCGATTCCTTTTACAGTTATCTAAGGGGTGTGTGGGGCGACAAGTTTCCACGACTTGCACGGGTAGCTTCTCAATTCGTTAAGGGTAAAGCAGGGCTTAGGGTTTAGGGTTAGTACAGGGTTTAAGGTGCACGCTTTAAGGGTGTTATTTTAGTAGGGCTCGCGACAATGGCATATTGGGCCTGAATGTCTGGCCATCATCTCGAAATCTGTCGGGCGTGCCGTCTTTTTGCCCTTGCCCTGATCGGCAGAACTTCCAGATCAGGTAAAGCACTACCTGGACCATGATTTTAGATACTTTGGGGGTTTAGATATAGTCAATGACTCAATGACCTTGCTACACTTGATCTGTGGCCCCCGATTGGGTACTGCAACGCGTAGCCCAACACTGACACCAGCCGTTGCTTCGGGACTGCCATAGCAATACGAAGCCCCAAGCCCTACCCCGAAATCTCATGCTAGAAGGGTGGGCCATAGACTCGATTTCAGGCTTGCTGGGACAGAGGCGGCTTTGGTTGGCATTTGGCAGGGCTCAGAGTGTCAGGGGTTTGGGGTCTGGATTTTGATTTGGAGCCTTAGGTTGTGGCGCGCTCGGCTTTTTGGTGCAGTCGGAGCCACCCTGGCCTGAATTTCTTTTTGGGATTGCGCCAAGCCTAGGTCCCTACTACGAACCAACAAGCCAAGCGTCCCCAACCACGTCGATGACACGCTGCCTAGGTCCGGCTCTTGCGACTTTGTGGCTGCATGGCCAACTTCGTAATGTTTGATCAATGTGTTCGTGTTTTAATACTGGTTTTACATTAGTTAATAATGTCAAGCAAACCTCAGGAAGACCACGACCCAGCCCCGCAACAGGCGGTCCGAAACATTGTACAAACATTCCAACGACATGATAACCGAACTTCTCCTAAGGGTCCATGTGCCTAAATATTGAATACTTAGGCCTTATAAAGTACTTCCTATATAGGGACCCTAAAGCCTAAACCTAAACCCTAAACCGTAGAGTTTCGAAGGGAAGCCAACAAAGGCACTAACACGCCGTCAGTTCGCATAAGCAGGGATAGGCTAGATCTTCAGCGAGCCCACTCGGCCTTATGTTTTTGTTGAGTGCGGTGTGTGTGTGTGTGTGTGTCTTATAGGGCTTACGTTTTAGGGTTTTGGACTGGGAGATTAGGGTCTATAGGGTTTGAGGTCTCGGCTTTGGGGTTTCATCAAAAAAACTAGCCTTCGGGGCTTTCTGAAGGGTCTTGAGCGGTAGGCCTTTTGTGCAGAGGGCTTTCAGGCTTTCAACTGGCAGGGCTGCAGGTCCAGAAGCAGCAGTTTGAGCGTTTAGGGTTTAGGGATATGGTTTGCCCTAAACCCTAAACCCTAAACCGTAAGCCCTAAACCCTAAACCCTGGAGTTTTGGTGGGCTGACAGCTGGTTCTCCAGTTGCAGCGTTCGCAAGAAACTGCGCCCTGGTCCTTGCTAAGGAACTTGAAACTAAGCTACCATCTGGGGCTATATATTCATTTAAGCCTTCTCCTCATCATGGCAGCTTGATTTTAAGTCCTCTGGCAAGACCACAGAAAAATCTCCAGTGTTGCCCAAGAAGGATCTACTAGTTCATGGTTGGGATAGTATTAAGAAATAGCCTTATTGAGCTCAAGCACCCTTAAACAATGTAAAATCTTACACCCCTATGACAAAGTCTAGCGTCTTCGGATCTGGCCACTGCGGCGGATCTTGCGAAAGGTAGCCCATGAGAACCTTAGCAACTCGATTCCACTACCAACTGCTTCAGAACCCCCCCCTCCCAAAAGAAAGAAATAAAACAGAACAATCTTTCTTACAAGGGAAATATAGGGATATTTGTATTTATTCATGCATTTTTTTTTGGGCGGGGGGGAGGGGGGGGGGGGGGGGGGGGTTCTTCAGCAAGTAGTTGTCCATGGTTAGTCGCTCACACTCAAGCCAGGTGAGGCACCCACTGCCTCCTGGTCTTGCTTTGGAGCCAAACATGCCCAGAGATTTCCATAGGGTTTAGGGTTTAGGGTTTAGGGTTTAGGGTTTAGGGTTCAGGTTTAAGGTTTACCGTTTACCAGCCTGGCAACCTAAATCCTAAACTCTAATAACCCTTTCCAAGACCCTGTAACCCTTCAGAAGCCCCAAACCAGTTCCAACTTGGGATGTTCCCCTGATTCTAAGAGTCCTTCATCGGGATTATAATACGGGTGGTACCATCATCCATATTCAGGGCTGTGGCTGTTAGTATAAGGGGGAAAGTTGCGCTGCTCGTTCTTTTCTCAGGGTTGCAAGGGAATATCCCAGCCACCCCATCGCCGATGAAGACATCTCCGCTGGTGGGCTGGAGATCCCCGACCAGCGTCCTCACGGTTTTAGGGTTTAGGGTTTAGGGTTTCGGGCTATAACACTTCAACCCTGACACTTGTAAGGCCAACCCCGCTCTAAGCCCTGGGTCCAAGCATTGACAGCATCCTCCATCTAGCTCACCCTAAACCCTAAACCCTAAACCCTAAAATGCCGTCCCGTTCCCCCCCCTCCTCTCAACTGGCAAACCTATGCCACAGCCACTGTGAGCCTAAGTCCCGAAGCTTTGCAGCCGTTCTTGAAGAAATTACTACGCATCCTCCAAACAACCACCCTCGCACACCTCACATGCAACCAACAAGAAATTGTACTATGGCTGGCAGTTGGAGAATGGGTTCATGATTGGGAACGGATGACGTGGCCAAGGCAAGCTCGCAAGGACCCAGCCGGTTGTCCTTTTTTTGCAGCCCTGTTCACAGAAAACCTTCGATAAATGGCCTACACCTGACAACGCATTGCGTGGCATCAAAGGTCGCGCGCCCAAAAAAGGTCTTTAGCAACACCTTAATCTTAAGTCCCTAGACCCTGTTTGAATCCAGGACTCTGGCAAATTTCTTCGGCAGTTTCTAAACCCTAAAGCACACACCCCGAGCCATGGCACCCCAAGAACCCCTCGACTGCTGCCAAACGTCTTAAGCAGCGTGCTCTTGCCGGCGCCATTGGGGCCAACTATGCCCACCTTATTTAGGGTTTAGGGTTTAAGGAGAGTGCGTAAAAAAGAGGCCTGCGGATATTCAAGGTAACCCCCCCCCCCCCCCCCCCCCTCCCCCCCCCCACTCCCCCCCCCCTCCCCCCCCCCTCCCCCCCCCCCTCCCCCCCCCCCCCCCACCCCCCCCCCCCCCCCCCCCCCCCCCCCAAAGAAAGGCCCCCCCCCCCCCCCCCCATGCTCAATTCCACATTTCCTCTGCCATGTTTGGTAGGATTCCTATTGCTTTTTATTCGGAATCCTTCTAATTTCAAGAGGATTTCTATTAATGTAACAAGATTTCTATTTGCCTTCTTTTTTCGTAGCATTTCTAATCGGACTTCTACTAATTTTTAATAGCAGTTCAATCAATTGTAATAGGAGTTGAACTTAATTCGACAAGGATTTCTATTATTTCAATACGAATCCCGTTAAACCTAATACAAATCTTATTAGAAGGGATAAAAATCTCATTCATATTATTAGAAATCTTTCACAAGTAACAAAAACCCGATTAGAATCAAAAGAAGTCCTATTAAAACGATAATAAAAATCAAGTGAAAGCCTATTAAGAACACTGTTATTGACCAAGGGGGGGGGGGGGGGGCCCCCCCCCCCCTTTGAACAAGAGGGGGGGGGGGAGGGGGGGGGGGGCCATTGAACAAGAGAGGGGGGGGGGGGAGGGGGGGGGGGGGGAGGGGGGGGGGGGCTGGCTTATGTTCCCGCAGGCCGCAGTGGCGCGCACTATCGGTTTAGGGTTTAGGGTTTAGGGTTTAGGGTTTAGGGTTTAGGGTTTAGGGTTTAGGGTTTAGGGTTTAGGGTTTAGGGTACCTTATTTAGGGTTTAGGGTTTAGGGTTTAGGGTACCTTATTTAGGGTTTAGGGTTTGGGGTTTAGGGAGGCTTTAAAGGGTTGAGGGGTTGACTGGTTTAGGGGAGACCAGGTCTCCAGGTACCTGCGCCTCCATGGCTTCTCCGGCTTAGGGTCTCGTTCTTCTGAAACGTAGCGCTTTCGGTTC